GAACACGTCCTCATAACTTCAGCGTACGTGGTCCAATCTCAATGAAACTTCACATGTTTGATAAGAGTCCCGCCTTGAACACGTCTACATGCGATTTTGAGCTGATTTACGTGACATTTTCATGTTGTGGTCCGCACGTGTTGCGACGGCACGTGACACGGCCGCAGCACGCCCTGAGTTGCATGGAGTGCGAGGTCCCGCCCAACGCTGCTTGCAGCTTTAATATTCTTATTATTCTTCCGTACGTTTTTCGGTCGACTACTCCTTGGTCGCACATACACAAAAAGGTACAAAAACGTGTGGCTCGATGGGGACATTAGTGCTATGACTTTTCTAACAGTCCCTCCAGAAAAACGCGATTATGTTATAGCATAATTCAATGCATAATCAGCCAAAGTCCGCATGTTTATGCGGGGGCCGCATTTTTTCAAATACGCCGCACTTTGGCTGCATTAATTGCAGATTCCGCGCAAAATATACGGAGCTAGCATGATTTCATAATCCCCGCATTTTCGTTGCAAAAAAGTCACACATATCTTAGCAGAAAGTTGTAAAATGTTGCGTTTACTTCACACAAGAGCAGCCATTTTCCCTTGTTGCCATGGGAATGTTATGAAGTGACGTAATTACGCGACATGAACATCATCGAAAAGCTGCAAACCCCGCGATGAAGCCATGATGAAGCCCGCAAATCAAAATCAAAAACCTTACAGTTGTAAACTAGTAGTATGTAAATTTACGTTACAGTAAGAGATTGCTCTTTGTGCATTGGAAGCACTTATTTTAACAGAAGATGTCTGTTTTGTAGCTCCCTCTGTAAAACAGGAAGCACACATTTTATTTTTTTATATTTTATTTATTTATTTTTACAGACGTTGTGGCATATTCCTTTTGTAAAGCTACAGAACTTGTTTGACTCATCAATGTTTTATAAGTTTGAGCCATGTGTTTATTAAGGTCTGAAATAAAACAAGATGAGAACTTAAATATTCCCAGCACTTTCTGTGTTGTAGTATGCTTGCTTATCATAGGAAGTAATAAGAAATGACTCTTTACATTAAGGTAGTAGCCTAGTGAGAACAGGGTGTTGGGGGAATCACTTTTTTTTCTCTTTTCCATCAAACCGCAGTTTTTGCAAGTTCCCGCAATTTTTGCAAGTTCCCACAATTTCATCGCATAAAATTGCATAAATATCCCGCGTATTCTATCGCATTTTTTAAGAAAACTTGCCATATAATCAAGGATTTTTGCCCGCAACAATCACAAAAAAACTTTTTGTTTGTTCTAAGCGTTTCGCCAAACAGTTTGCCGATAAATCGCCAAAAACCAGGCCAAAAAATAAATGGGTGTGTATTGGTAGAATGCTCAACCGGTTTCAACTGCCGTTTCAGTTAGAGTGGAGAGAGAGAGAAACATTTGTCAAAAAATAAATTTGTAAACTGCTCTTAAGGCCACAAATGTCACTGTACAGAAATAAGTTATAGATAGAAACGTAGGTAAATCCGTTGGGGTCGCAGTGATAACACTGCTGAAGCTGTCAGACAAATAGTTTTGGTGGGAAACGCACTGATGCGCCAGCAACACCCTTCTCACGGCCCCATCTCCATGTTAATTGGAGAGAAGACATTTTTAAAGGAGCTTGTTGCACCATTTCTTCCTCAATCTCCCGAGGTCACATTTTTTAACTTTAGCCACTGAAACTTGGCAGTCCTACGGTCAACAAGATGGCGATGCTCACGGTCTTTTCGGTTTTCATTTCGCTCGTTTTTTGGTCATTCCTGGCAAATGGTTCGAGGGGGTTAATTTTGAGATTTTCTATCTCTCTCAGGAGTTAGAGACTCAAGTGCTGTGGCCTCCCCTGGTTGCCATGACAACCAAAGCCATCCTGTGAACATACACATACACGCACACACATAGCTAGCTACAGAGGCTCACAAGGTATTAAAAAGCTAGCGCTGGCTAGCTAGCTAGCTAAAGAGAATGACAAGGTATTAATATGCTAGCACTAGCTAGCTAGCTAAAGAGAATGACAAGGTATTAACAGAGAATGTCTAATAAGGGGAGAAGTTCCACTCTCGGTCTACTTCCGGGTTCTGAACTGTTGCAGTTCCACTCTGATTCCATGTGAGGGCGCTCACAGGATGAGTGCAGAATGAATGGCGCTCTATGGAGCTATACCCCTCAAAATCCACTTTTCTCAGGATATAATTTTCTGTCTAGTAATTTGAATGTTGCATTCGAAAGGGGATGCATTGCTGGGTGTTAGATTTTTTAGAGTCACTTATTTGCTTTAAAAAGTATTTTAAAATGTCAATGACGTCATACACATCGTACGGCCAGAGATACTGCTTTACGGCAAGCCTCGAGTCACTTTGTGCTTCTGCGCTCGGCACTTCCTTTTCTCTCGAGGCATCGACAACACAGACATAACGATAGGCAGATAAAAGTACCAGCAACCCAAAAAAAAGTTGCTGTGTTAAAAAAAAGAACGGAAAAATCTGCCTTAACATTCTGGTCCCGCTTCGGGTGCCACGATGCCATCAAGCGGGATCTCTGGTCGTAATCAGTCCTTCACTGACCAATCAGCATTCATTAGCAGAATGCTAGCGTGTTATGGGCAACAACAACTCGTCCTGTAAGAAATCGAATGGACATAAGTACTCTTTCATTCAACTTTCGACCTATAACCCATGTTGAACTTGCCCAAACTACAATCAAATCTGAGATTTCTCAACGAGAATCAGGTGAAAGAGACAAATTTAGCCGTCTAGCTCCATCTGCTCCCATTCATTCTGCACTCATGGGCGATCGCCCCCAGTGGAACTCTGGTGGAACTGCAACCAAAATTCGGTACAATGGGACTTAATAGAGAGTGGCCAGGCTCTCCGTAGACGGGCTCTGGTATTAATATGCTAGCGCTAGCTAGCTAACTAAAGAGGTTGACAAGGTATTAATTGAGCTTGCGCCCGTAATGTAAACAGTCTAATGCGGCGCAGTGCATTATGGGGTTGTGTGGCTGTGGGGATTAGCGACACTTGGCAACAACGCGAAGTTCATTGCATTTGGTCGAGGTTGGATACATACAGAGAGCTACGAAGTATTTTACATTTATCATTTTTAAAGCTAGCGAATGGATGAGAATTCCTTGATGATAGAGTAAGGTTGTACACTGGGCTTCCATCTTAAGCTCTATTTATGGCTCTACTGACAGAAATTATGCCCAGTTTACCCCAGAGTACCACAGGAAGGAAAATTTCATATTTTCAGATACTTCTCCTGACCCTAATGCGTATTAGGCTCAATCCGCCTCTCCATCTGCTTGCACATCTTTTCAGCATAAGCTGACAGCACGCGTCACACACATTCTGTGACACCATCAACATACTATATGCACACCTCAACTCTTTGGTGCACTGGCCAGAGAGACATGGCATGGGGGACAGCATGCCTCATCAGTTTGTAGAGCATTATGGCAATCGGGTCAGAGTCATAATTGACTGCTTTGAACTCTTCATTGAAAAAGCCTCAGAATCCTCTTGCAATGGCTCAAACATATTCTACATACAAACACAAACACACTATGAAATATCTGATAAGCATCACTCCACAGCGACAAACTAGTTACAGAGAACAGTGGCTTAATTCGGAAGCCGGAGCCTGGTGATATAGTGTTGGCTGACAGAGGGTTTGATATCAAGGAAAGTGTGGCCTTTGTAGGTGCCACACTCAAAATCCCAGCATCTGCCAGGGGTCTCAGCCAGATGAGTGCAGAAGATATAGAGAGGTCAAGAAAGTTATCCTCAATCAGAATTCACATCGAGAGATCAATTGGCGTTGTTTGTTCTAAGTTTACCATACTGAATGACACCATACGCCTGAATCTGGTGCTCCCAATTGAGGGGGAGGACAGTACCTTGCGTGACAAGATTGTGGTCGTGTCCTGTACATTGACAAACATGTGTCAGAGTATTGTTGTGAAGCCATCTTTTTAGATATGCAAGCCTGTCCAGACTGAACTGAAATCTGAACTGTTTTTGAATGATAAGGCACTATATACCTAGCAGCTGTACTGTTTTGACATGCCATTTTTTTATTTCTTACATTCTAGATGTTCTATATGTTAGCACCAACTGCCACAGCAAATTCCTTGTTTGCACACATGGCAAATAAAGCATTTCTGATTCTGATACTTTCCCACTTGTCCTACTGTGTTATGGTCTGGGTCACTTTACAAAAAATACAGTATGTGCATTTGTCAACAGCAATGCTAATATGTTGTACTTTACTTTTATGTGCAAATAAGAAAGGAGAATGAATTCGGTATGGCCGCTTTAATTTTCAAGTAATGTACACAGAATAAATCGGTAACACTTTATAATGAGTACACACTATTAGCATTAGTTAAGCATGAATAAATAATGAATTCATCATTTATAACGCATGAATACACATTAGTATGTAGTTTATAAACACAGTTAAAAATGTTTTATTCATCATTGTTAAGCACATTAGTTATGGATTAGTAAATACTGAATTCATCATTTATAAAGCATGATTCTGCTGTAAATAATCATTACTATGTGGTTTATAATCACAGTTATAAATGTTTTACTCTTCATTGTACTGTACATTTCTGCATGCACTTGCACATCCACTATTCAGACATGTATTAATGATTAGTGACTGTGTTAGCAGATGTTCTATAAAACTCACAACAAATTCATTTTCTAATGATGGCCTATAAACAGTTATTAATGCAGGAATTCACAGTTACAAAGCACTTACTACTCGTTCATTAAGTATTTTGTGTGAGCTCTTCTAAAGTGAGCACTATCTATGGCTTATAAAGCATTTACAAATGAGATATAAAGGCTGACAATGCCTCGAGACTCACAAAATGTTCAGTTATCTTAACAGACGAAGGAGAGACACAACACAAAGGGATATAGAACATATTGTATTGATATTTATTAAACATGGCTGAATAAAAATTTGCCAACATCAACAGTGGATCACAGACGTTTCAAATATGAAAAATAAAATCTTTGTTTTAAAATAAAAACTCTATCAAAAAATAAAAACTCTGTATCAAAAAATAAAATCTTTGTTTGAAAAAATTACAAACTTTCTGTATCAAAAATAATTTACACACACAATTTAACGTAATTCTAAATCCTATCTCAAAGAAACGTCTAAAAATTATTTGAGACAGACAAAATATATATACTCAACACATTTGAATTTTACGACACTACAAAAACAAAGTGCACTGAATTCTTGGAATTTGTCTCACAGAAAGAAAGTCTTGCTAACAACGGTTACAGTGACTGCATATGACTACTTGGAAATGTCATGAATCAGTCAAATGCACCCTTACAGTGTTTCTCTGCGAGCCATTCATTCCACTCAATCACTGAAAGGTGGTCGGAAAGCAAACTGTCAGTGCGATTTCCCCTAAGCCTCCAGATCTGCTCCTAGGATCTCCAGGCCCTCTCAAGATGCTGGGTATGGGCACCAGTTTGGGGATCTACATTCACCCTTTCACACACCTGCTGTGGTTGACAGTGTGATGGTTGTACCCTAGTGCAGAGAGTATGCGATACGCACGCCACTCATCACTGATAACTGTAGATTCAAGCCTCACATAATGGGCAATCAAGGGGACTAGATGTCTTCGAGATCTTCTCTCCACAAGACGTAGATTAGGCTTTCTTCGTCCTTGATGATGCCTCACACCTAACATCCTAAAGACCCACTTCTTTCTTTTCCACCCACCAGCCATTCTTCCTCTCCCATACTGATGCGGAAACAAAACAACAAACACAGACGTAAACAGATACATCCTATTACAATAACTTGTTTGACTGTATTTGACACTTAATTACAGTCACTATTACTATGGCTGTGGCTCAGAGGCAGAGTGGATTGTTCCTTAATCGGAAGGTTGTGGGTTCGATCCCCGGCTCCTGGTGCAACATGTCGAAGTATCCTTGAGCAAGATACTGAACCCCAAATTGCTCCTGATGCCGTGCATCGGTGTGTGAATGTGTATGAATGAGTTAGTTTCTGTTCGATGGGCTTTGCCATCACTGTGTGAATGTGTGTGAAAGGGTGAATGTGGCACTTAGTGTAAAAGCGCTTTGAGAGGTCGAAAGACTAGAAAGGCGCTATACAAGTACAGGTCCATTTACCAACATACCTTTCTTTTGTGCCGAAAAAGGCTCTCATCGATCACAACAAACTCCCTTCTTCCACCAATCTGTTGGCCTGTACGCCTTCTCATCCTTTCCACTGCTGTGACATTGTAGTGAGAGTGGTTGAACTGGCTGCAATTGTGTCATCCATCATATCAATCTGTCGTAATCGTAGACCCTGACAAAATCTTCAAAGGCAAATGAAAAAAAAGAATGTTTATGTATCTCTAAATTCATTGACAAAACATGCTATGCATTATTTTGTATATTGAGTGTTTTATGCAATTACAGAGAGAACAGCAATATTCTGATATGATATGTGTTTATGTTATTATTGTTATTACTTGCTCACCTGTACATGAACTGCATCCAGTTACTGAGGGAGACCTTTGAATGACTGAAGATTCACTTGTGCCTGATGGATTTTTGTTTTTCCTTTCCCATATGTGCTGTATGGCGACAGGTCCTATTTAAAAAGTACAGTAACATAAAATACTGTTTATTTAGGAAAGGGCTTCATGCAATACTGTATTCTCCACCACTATCTCACTTACTCACTCACTCACACACACACACACACACACACACACACAGAGACACACACACACAAACACACACACACACACACACACACACACACACACACACACACACACACACACACACACACACACACACGTTTGGGTCGTAATGGGAAACATAATCAGGTTACCAAAAAAATGCAACTATAATCAGCACAAAGTACACTTAAAAAAAATTATAGTTTGTCAGTTACAAAGATTACTTGTTTGATTACGTATTTAAAATATGGCAATTTCAAAATCCTAAAACTGTACAGTACAGATGTAGACGTTCATGCCAGTATGTTTTTGTGAGGGTAATTTGATTTGAACAATTCTGAATGCTGGATATGTTCTACTGTAGCCTATAAGTAAGTTACTCCTCTCAGGTTGCTAGTTTTTAAATGATGACTTTTTTTTATATATTTTTGTTTAATGAATTATAGATGATGTTTTAATTCTTTTTTTATTTACATTAAAAAAATGAAGGTGAACATTTTGAGGAAGTGCTCCTCTAGCTTTACAACCACAAAGTCCTCCATGTGGCCCTTGATTAAATAAATAGCTGCAGCAAAAACTTAGACAAAATAAATATCCCATGTAGCAGGATACACACAGCGTATTTGCAGCTTGTGCCAGTACTGTTTTTGTAAGTTTAATTTGATTTCACCAACTGTAAATATAAAATATGCATAATGCATTTTATTTGCACTGAAAATGTAAATGTAAATGGTGTAATATTGTCATTGTTTGATCCAAAAGGATTTAGATTAGATAACATTACTAACTACATAAATTGCATTTAATTTGTATTGAGCAGCCTGATTACATCCCAAAGTAATCTGACCCAAACCTGCACACATCAACACATAACTGCAAATTATTTTAAATGTACATATATGTAATTCTACATTTCTCACCAAGCATATAGATCTCCACTGTTCGTCCTCTTTTTCAGTTTCATATCCTGATGGCATATTTTGCATTTGACTTTTCTTTTTAGCAGTTTCCTCTTCTGAAGCCACTTTATCAGCTTCAGGGCGTTTCTTTTCGAGGTTTCCTCCTTCTTCAGTCGGGTGAATATGGTCATGGTTTTATGCATTTAAAAAAGCATTAAACCAGAGAATGTCTGTGGTGGTTTGGGACGTGTACGTTGAGCTTGCGATCCCGCTCTCAGCACGTCATCAACGTGATGACGTTGGGAGGCGGCAACATTTTACGTTCATATTTACCGGTACGTTAACTCTCAGAAGTTTCTGAGAGTGCAGCCAAGAAAAGCATGGAGAAGTCTGTCCTAAATCGACGAGGGCGAATGCGGACGCGGGCCAATAAGAATGGGGGTGTGGGGATGGATACACTGGAGTCGGCGGCTGTCAGCGGCACTAGTGGTGAGTATGTGTCTTTGGTTGCTAGCACACATTGTGGATGAAAGCTAACGTTAGCTTGTCAGCAGCTAACGTTACTACCGACCCGCCCGCGGTGGCTAAGCCGACCTGCCGCTGCCACCTCGCCCGGCTAGACGAGACTGACTTAACCGCAGCGACAACATTACAAGTTTAAAAAAAAATAACTTTTAGGAAAATATTCAAAGTGATAATGATAAATGCACCACAAAGTTTACATAAAATAAATTGCATGCTTTATGTGCTTCACACAAAATGGAAATAAAAGTATATGCATGTATTTATGTTATGACAGAAATACATATAACGTTATGACATGCATACACTGACATAGAACATATACTGAATAGAAATTATTTCACATGAGATCACTGTTTAAAGTTGCTTAAATGTCAAAGCATGCCAAAATCACAAGTGTCTGAAAATATACTCAGTTGGTGTATAACGTTCTACATGCGTTTTATAATGAACACTTTCTTTCTTGTAGGTGTGTCCATGGCCCCTACTGCACAGCTGGTGGACAAAAGGAAATCACACGAGTTGGAGATGTGTAAGCAGAAGATAGAGTTGCAAAAGGAGAAGATTGATGAACTTATCAAAGAGAGAGACTACCTAAAAGAACAGTTGGCATCAGGTAAGTCTCCCTACACACAATATGTTGAGGAATTCTTGTGCAGTTGGGTCTTATTATATTAGTTTACTGTATCTCTGGACTCTAGATTATGCATATGTCTCTGTGGCATATTGGTCTAATGTTTGTATTTGAATCTATTTTAACAGCTCTTAAAAAAAGGGAACAGGATACCCAGGCAATCTGCTTGCCTTCATCTTCCTCTTGTGATAGCTCAGAGGAAGATTCCTCTGATATTGTGTCTGCATCCTCATCAGAGGACAAGAAAAAGAAAAGGAGGAAGAAGAAGGGGAAAGAGAGAAAGTCCAGAAAGTCAAAGAAAATGGAACCAAAGTCACGTAAAAGAGGTAAAAATGCTGCATGTACTTTCACCCCTTTCTACTCACTGCATTTTTGGTTTGGTCCTGCTTAGCTCTGCTGTATTGTTCCTCTCTTGGCTGGTTCTTCTCACATGATGTAGCATTCTATGTGTGATTGTTGTTGGCGCTAACTAACTTAATGTACTGTAACAAATCACTTTCTGGATAGAGAGGAATAACCTAGAGAACCATCTACTTATAAGTCTCTTAGTTGCAACTGCTCTGATCTCAGGTCTCCTACTCTAGAAACGGAATGTGAGTGTGTGACTCCAAGCCTACAATGAGTGTAGTGTGTGTGTTTGAAAGTGCATGTGTGTAAATACTACCATGTACTACCTTTTACTGTGAATAACACTAATTCTTTGTCGTCTGAATTGCAGTCTCAAAACCGGATCAGGCTGTATCCCGGTACAAAAAAATTCTCAGGCTGTTCAATCGAGGAAGGACCATGTCTGCTGCTTTCAAGCGTGTTGGGGTGGACCGGAACACGGTTGTTGTCACTGCTCCAATTGCAGAGCTGTTCATTGCTGCACCCAGCAAATATAAGGAACTCCTTAAAAGCCACAACAGTCAGGTGAAACTCAGCGAGTTTGCCACACAGTGTGCCACTTCAGTTCAGGAGGATCCTGGAATAGCGGACACAGTTGAAGCCTTTAAGGATTCCGGAAAGCTGCTTCCCCTGAAAACAAAGTGAGCTAAAATGCTAGCTCAACACTGACTGAATGACAGTCAGCAAGAATTTGTCTTTCTGTGAGACAAATTCCAAGAATTCAGTGCACTTTGTTTTTGTAGTGTCGTAAAATTCAAATGTGTTGAGTATATTTATTTTGTCTGTCTCAAATAATTTTTTGACATTTCTTTGGGATAGGATTTAGAATTACGTTAAATTGTGTGTGTAAATTATTTTTGATACAGAAAGTTTGTAATTTTTTCAAACAGATTTTATTTTTTGATAGTTTTTATTTTAAAACAAAGATTTTATTTTACATATTTGAAACGTCTGTGATCCACTGTTGATGTTGGCAAATTTTTATTCAGCCATGTTAATAAATATCAATACAATATGTTCTATATCCCTTTGTGTTGTGTCTCTCCTTCGTCTGTTAAGATAACTGAACATTTTGTGAGTCTCGAGGCATTGTCAGCCTTTATATCTCATTTGTAAATGCTTTATAAGCCATAGATAGTGCTCACTTTAGAAGAGCTCACACAAAATACTTAATTAACGAGTAGTAAGTGCTTTGTAACTGTGAATTCCTGCATTAATAACTGTTTATAGGCCATCATTAGAAAATGAATTTGTTGTGAGTTTTTATAGAACATCTGCTAACACAGTCACTAATCATTAATACATGTCTGAATAGTGGATGTGCAAGTGCATGCAGAAATGTACAGTACAATGAAGAGTAAAGCATTTATAACTGTGATTATAAACCACATAGTAATGATTATTTACAGCAGAATCATGCTTTATAAATGATGAATTCAGTATTTACTAATCCATAACTAATGTGCTTAACAATGATGAATAAAACATTTTTAACTGTGTTTATAAACTACATACTAATGTGTATTCATGCGTTATAAATGATGAATTCATTATTTATTCATGCTTAACTAATGCTTAATAGTGTGTACTCATTATAAAGTGTTACCAATAAATCTCTTCGTCACAAAAATGAGGACAAAGGACAACAAAGCCAAGTGCAGACAATAAGGTAAATAAATAAAGTAATAAGATAAAATAATAAATAAAGCTCTACTCCCGCTCATACCTCTTAGTCCAGAAGTAGACATGCTGGACAGTACCATAACTCATCTTTGGCTGGTGCCTGACCCAGTCCCACACCTCCCAGATGATACCACTGTATGGCACAATTCTCCTCATCACAGGCGATCATCACCTCATCTTCTGGCTTTCTACAGCAGTACCACAATTCCACAGTGGTTTTTCACGCACGTTTCTTTGGCCGGCGTGCATGGACAGGTTGTGTCTGAAGTTGTGACTCACCAAGAGGTTGTAGTGCTGGTGTGGAGGCTTGCTGGGTGTAATGGCAGGCGACCAGCTCTGGTAGAACAACCTTGTAAAAGAAGCTCTGTGCCTTTGGCAAAAGTCTCCCAGAATTCAGCATCAGGTGTGACCTGCACAATTTCACAGGTTTTCTTCGTCCAAACGACAAAGTCACAGTACTGTGCACTGGTCACAAAGATCTGTGTTTGCACTTGCTTGTAGTACACGTGTGTTCTTCAACTGCAACTTGCCAATAGTGAACTCAAGACAAAAGTCCTTATCTGCACAGGCCTGTAAGATGATGCTTGTGAGGGCATTTGATTTCTACACAGCCCTTCCCACAACAGACACAGTCAACAAGAGCGTCAGGGGATGCTCCCAGTTCAGGGAAGGATGGATTCACGATGAAACCACATTTCTCCACTTTCAGCTCCTCATGCTGCAACTCCTGCTTTCTGCGGTATGACTCTCTTGCTGTGTCTTCTTTGGCTCTTCACCATTCCATTGGAGTCAGCTGTTCATCATCTTGTTTTCTGTTTCCTGTGTAAGATGGTTTATGAGGATAACACACCTTCTTCCCGGTAGACAGAGCTGGACTGGATAGAGGAGTTGACACCACTGAATGGATATTTGACGCGGTCATCCTACCAGCTCGTGCTGTGCGCCAAAGGGCAGATTTATGTTGCTCTCTGGTTTGCCTTTCCAACGAGGCCGCTTGTGTCTCAGTCACTGCAACCAGGGGTCTCAGGCTTTCACAGTGCTACAGCAGAACTGACAATTCACGGCCATCCATTTCTGGATTGCGGAGGCATAGTAACGACTTGGGCAAAATACACGGTGGAACAGGATCTTTATATAAATGGCTGAATTCAGGCTGTACAGGACAGAGAACAGACCTTTGATCATGCATTACGTTAATGACTGCAGTTAGGCCACCAAGTGTGCGCTTTGGTATCTCTCAGCCGGCAGCACGGGTCCTTATCCCGTGTGTTGTGCTGGATTGTCCGCTGGTGGCCTGGTTGAGTGCCTTCTTACAAGCTGCACCTGTGGTGTAGTGAATGGTATGACCTGGTGCTCCGTTCACTTTCTTCACATTTGAGGGCTCCACCCAGTATGCTGAGACATCTGTTGGTGTCAGATGCCCTCGAAGTTGTACTGCTGTGTCGATTTTGTAAAGCAGCGCTGCAACATGAAGACACTTCTCAGCAATTCCTGCCATACAGTCGCAGTGAGCGCTCTTCACTTCCCCACTGGATTTCAGGATCACCCATGGCTGCAGTGGATGTAAGTTGGTGCGCATTGAGTGCTTCACCTGGAAAAGTAAAAAAGTTGTTTTAAAAAATAGAAATATTTCAAAATGCACATTTACAAACTACACCTTGTACGTCTGAGTCAATTAACCAGTCACATAAGACATTCAATGGGTGCACCTGATATAATTAACAAAAATAACAAAACAAAACCAAGAAAATAAATAATTGAATGAGTAAGGACTGTTTGAATTAAGATGAATGAAAATAGCCTAACTCAAAATAAGAGGCATAGGCCTACCAAAACAGTCAAACGTCTGTGATGATCACTCAAGCATTCTATTTATTTCATAATGCCAATTTATAAATTGAGTCTTGGATGAACTTAGAGAAACCTGGCAACAGAGGGGTGTGTGACTGGTGCCTGTAAACTTACCTTAGTAAGCACTATGGTTTTGGCGTCAACTTTGAACATCTCCATTGGGTCGTGCACCCATCCACTTGTATACTGGACATGTCCCATTTGTACAGATCCAATATTTTTAAAAACTTCATTACTGTAGGCACTTACACGTTACACCATGTAGTTGTAAAGGTGTCTCTGCATGAAGTTTGGCAGGCGGTCCCTGTCATCCGTCCAACACATGTGCTCATATGGGTCTATGCCTTTAATTCCTTAAATTTTTTTCCAAATACCGTGCCTTTGCTTTGGCTGGTAGCCTTTCACGGTAGGGGCCTGCAGCTTTTTCCTTACTCTTATACATTTTCCACACTTTTTTGTTTGCATAGTCTAAAACGCCATGCTCCTTTTGTCCACAGCAATGTCACTGAGATCAGTACCAAATCTGTAATGAGAAATATTATGCATTCAGTCGTCTGTGTACAGTAAAGGCCGTTTTAGCCATCAGATGGCGATAGCTAGCTATGTACATTGTTTCTAACCCTGAACGTCACGACAGCTTTATCCTCTGTCTGACATGAAAAACAGCAATTTAGGTAATATTACCATTCTCTTTCCCAAACGCTGGGGTAGACCTATGGGGATGGATAGTGTGACGCAAGGAATCGTTAGGAATCACCTCCGTGTACATTAGCATTTTTAGGTCACGTAAACAACAATGGCTACAGCACAGGAACCGGTCACCTTTTATACAGTGACAGCCTACTTTACTGACATCCCAAAGTCTGTTCAAAAGGGTCTTAACTCCTATATATTTCAAATCACAACCATTGTTCTAATGATTTAAGCAAGGACACTTGAAAATGTTGTGACAGAAAATTCATGCTATTTCACGGAGAATGGGCTTCTGTAAATTCGTAAGACAAACATACTTTCAGGATCTTGTTGGCATGCTTCTTATACTGGTATGGGTACGTTGTATGGAACGCTCGACATGAATCCTTGCACTGGCAACAAGTCTGTTGTGGTTAACTTCCTGCACTGTGAACTGTCCATTGACAAGGAACGTTGGGATGTTCAGTGAAACTCCCTCAGGCAAAATGTCACGAATAGTGAATCCCTTATCTGCCCTTATCTGCCATCACCGTGTCATCTGGTTCTAGCTGTTGGAGTACTCCGCAGTCAGCTGTTTTCACCTTGTCAGAGGTACTTGCACCGTATAGGTCACTGGCGAAGGTTATTACTCCATTGGGAGCCACACCGATCAGAACTTTAAGTGTGGTGCGTCCTTTGTAATGACTGTACAGATGACTCTGGGTGTCCAGTCTTTCTGTGTTGGAGACGGCCACTTCAGTGCAGTCAAGCACAATCCGACAGTTGGGAAATGGCTGGAAGCAATCTGGCAGGGATATTTGGTTCTTGATTCTGGAGGGGATGTTGTTTTCCATCATGCCGACATACAAAATGTCATATAGTGCGCTGCTGATGGTGGTGAAGATGTTGGTGACTGTGGCACGGCAGCAATTAAACCTTGTTGCAAGGTCTAGGATGCCACAATTCAGTGCTTCATCAAAGTCAGGAGTAGCTGATTGATAAGGGTCATAATTTGGACATTCCAATCAAAGTGATACTGGAGATCAAATTTGGAGAGAAGGGCTTCCAAAAAGAGGACAGTGGCAGCATCTGGCAAGCTAGTGTAGTAATTGACTTTGTCAGGGTGGGAGGAGATTTGACTGAATGGAAATGTTTGTTTTTGTTTCTCCATTTCTTGTTTCAGTTGGTCATTTTCCACAACACTGGAAGTACCAGGGGTCTGTGTGGCAACGTCAAGGTGGTTTGGGCCTGGTCAAGCTGTTCCTTCATCCTCCACGCTCGCAGGGACCATTCCTTTTTTACGTTTGGTGGGGATGTGGTCGGGGAAAGCCTTTCCGTCATTCCACACAAACCGTGTTGGTCCAGCTGCTTTGCCATCAGGAAAATGCCACCCACAGACCCTCGAGTTGTAGTTTGAGGTGAACTTGTCATGCCTGCAAAAAGAAAAAAAATTAACAATTCAAATTAGCAATTAACATCTTACATCTCAGGCTCCCTCCAACTTGCAGAACCAACTTCTATTATCAGATGTGTTGTTAAGCTACCGTAAATCCTCAAATTATGGCAGGGATTATAATAATAATCAATTAATTAATAATAATTATTAATAATATTATAATTGCCTACCAGTAGGGCTATAAGTCCATGAGCACTAGGTGACATTGTTTCGATTTAACTCAATGAAATAAAAGAGCTCTTCTTAATATTTTATATTGTTGGTTTGTTTAATACTGTTGCCAATGAAAAGTCGTTGTAGCCTACACCATGGGTCTCCAACACGTCGCTCTCAAGCTACCAGTCGCTTGCCGCCCCCTTCTAAGCTTGCCAGAGGCTGAAGCAGTTACTAGGCCTAGCCTACTACATTTAAACACTATTGTTACCACGAGGCATTCCAGCCTACGAATTTAATAAAAAGTAAATCATAATTACATCATTAAAAAATAACTCCATTTAGGCTACGTGGCTACGCCATAAGATTTCCATTAAAGCACAGCGCACGTTCAATGAATGAATGAAAGCGGCTGCCTTGTCTCGCAATAAACGCAATGAACTCTTTCAACTACATGAAACTTAATAGTGAACCAACAAATACCCCCCAGATTTCAGTGCCCATCAGTCCCAACATTTAGCAATATAATCAGTCCAAAAGTAAATTAAATCCCAAACCAAACCTAACGTTAGCTAGTTACGTTAGGCTAGCTAGTAGCCGCTAGCCTGTTATTATTGTTATTATTGTTCATCATTTGAGATCCAACTTACCGTATCAACCTCCGCCATCTCTTCTTCTCTTTTTCGTCGAGGGGAAATCGGTAATAAGAGATAGTTTTGTTCACGTCGTTTCTGTTATTGCAACACGGGACACAGCACTGCACCATTTTACCGTTAGAATATTAGCGAATGGACACGGAAGTGGCTTTTTGGTTATGATGACGTAGCGCCTAGCCATGCCTATAAAACATAAACACATTTATTGAAGTGACAAGTAGTATCAGTATAGTAACAAGTTGTATCTAAATACAAACTAACTATCTACATCAAATAACAGCAAGTTCAAAAATAAAGAAAATTAAAGCTGCAAGCAGCGTTGGGTGGGACCTCGCACTCCACGCAACTCGGGGCGTGCCGCGGCCGCGTCAGATGCCATCATTACACGTGCGGACCAAAACATGAAATTTCAGGGCCTGTTGCCAGTAGGTGGCGCTTTCACTGTGTCTTAATATTGTCATGCAGACAAGTTCAGGGCGGGGCTGTTATAACACACGCGAAGTTTCATTGAGATTGGACCACGTACGCTGAAGTTATGACTATGTGTTCAGGGCGAGACTGTTACAGAATATGTGAAGTTTATTGGAGATTGGACATTGCACACTGAAGTTATGAGTGCTGTTTTATGGCAAATCGGCTGAATTCGACAAGTTGTCACTGGCACGGTCATTTCACGTAACTCAGCTCAAAATCGCCATGCAGCGCTTACTTCCTGTTGCCAGTAGGTGGCGCTATCACTATGCCTGATCATGTCATGTAGACATGTTCAAGGCGAGAGTGTTTTCAAACACGTGAAGTTTCATTGAGATTGGACCACGTAAGCTGAAGTTATGACTATGTGTTCAGGGCGAGACTGTTACAGAATATGTGAAGTTTATTGGAGATTGGACATTGCACACTGAAGTTATGAGTGCTGTTTTATGGCAAATCGGCTGAATTCGACAAGTTGTCACTGGCACGGTCATTTCACGTAACTCAGCTCAAAATCGCCACGCAGCGCTTACTTCCTGTTGCCAGTAGGTGGCGCTATCACTATGTCTGAATGTTGTCATGTAGACATGTTCAAGGCGAGAGTGTTTTCAAACACGTGAAGTTTCATTGAGATTGGACCACGTAAGCTGAAGTTATGAGGACGTGTTCAGGGCAAAACTGTTTTAGAATATATGAAGTTTATTGGAGATTGGACATTGCACACTGAAGTTATGAGCACTATTTTATGGCGAATCTGCTGAAATCGACAAGTTGTCACTGGCACGCGGTTTGATGTACAGTCATAAATAGCTCAACTTTTCAGTTTGTATGACCACAGAATTGAAAGTGGCCAACTTTGACCTCACACCACAGACATACAGACTCAAATTGCACAACTTTTAATCAGCACCATTTTTTTACTGTACTGACCAATTTTGAAGTACATCCGATAAATTCCCTTGGAGGAGTTTGCTCAAATACAACACAAAAATCACAAAAAATCACAAAAAAAATCAAAATGGCTGACTTTGACGGCACGCCATGGACACGCCCTTCAACGTACATGCACAAATTGCACAACTTTTTATCAGCACCATTTTTTGACTGTACTCACAAATGGTCCACTTCCTTTTTTGACGAAAAATCCACAGGAAGTGCTAATTTTATAACGTGCTGTTTTTTTTAAATATCAAAATTCTTTTTGTCACTTTTTTATTATGAGGGTCCTCAGATGCTACGTGAAAAATTTTGTGCGAGTCGGACAAAGTGCATGGGGGGAACCATTTCGCACTCTAGCGGAGTGCGAAATGGAGCCGCTATCAATATGCGGGAGACTCCCGGAACTTCCGGGACAGTTGGGATGTCTGGATAAAGATATAAAGGCATAAAAAGGAAAATTTCCCCCCGTTTGGCGCGCCCCACCTGTCACGTCTCTATTCCCCACCAGTGGGGCGCGCCCCACACTTTGATCACCGCGGTATTAATATATAATATAATATATAGTCAAAATTTCTTTAGGAATTATCTAGTTGTTATTATTATTAGGGCCTGAGCACTGACCGTGCCCTAGTGTAGTTAGAAACAGGGCTAAAGGTTATATGCATATAATAGCCTTAACAGCTTGTGTATGGTTTTACAATGACCAGGTCAAATGGTGTATATGTTCTTAAAAATTGCCATTACACAAATCTGCAGTAACTTATGTACTGCCGACAGAGTTTTCAGTTTACACATACGCCATGTTAATGGTTGCTAGGAGTAGTTAATGTTTTCAGTCCAAAAAATATGTCGTACATCCATTACATCGAAAGTGTTTTTGTGTCGCTATTTTGACCTTTGTAGGTAATTACCGTATAGGAAGATACATCCATATTCTTAGTCCCACGATTGTTTGATGGTTTCTCCAACCGAGGGCACCCACTGTTAGTGAGCAGACCTGTTTGAATCACAGAATAAACTGGACATGTGGACGGTGACTCAGGGGTTTTTGTTTTTGGGGGCGGCTGTGGCTCAGAGGCAGAGCGGGTCGTCCACTAATCAGAAGGTTGATGGTTCAACCCCCAGCTCCTCCCACTGCATGTCAAAGTATCTTTGAGCAAGATAGAGCAAGATGCTGTGCATCGGTGTATGAATGTGTGTGAATGAGTTAGTTTCTGTTCAATGGGCTTTTGCCATCAATGTGTGTGAAAGGGTGAATGTGGCATGTAGTCTAAAAGCACTTTGAGTGGTGGGAAGACTAGAAAGGCGCTATACAAGTACAGGTCCATTTACCATTTGTGTGTTGTTTTGTTGAGACAGTTTGAGACAAAACAACAAGTTTGAGACACTTTTTACTGATATGGAACCAATACTGATTTTCCTTCATATCCATTGTAGTTTTGTTTGCCAATATGGACGTAAAGTAGGTCTTAAATTGCATTCAGAATAGTGACATTAAATTTAACTTAATTTAGCAAAAAAGTCTTACATTTACACTACACACAGCCACTGTACAAGTCCCTGTGTACATGTTTACATGTTCTCACCATGTTTGGCTTTTCTCGCTCCTCTGTTCTGGGCAATAAGTACTAGGGTATTAATGTATTTGCAGTCTGACAGTCCTGCAGTAAATATTATTTATGTAAAGCTTGTATTGCTTGACACTGTAGGGACAAAAAAGAAAAATATTTAAAAAGAAAAATTAAATGACATGTTTTCTAGATCTGAGATGAATAAAATCTACAGTGAATAAAATAGTATTTAGTACTAAATCACTTGCTTCTTTCCTCAGTGTCTATATCTAATGGGGCGTCACACGTAGAGGAAGATAAGGATGAAGATGAGCAGGGGGAGAAGTTTGAGTTTGATGATGGGAATGACATCGGACCCCCAGAGATGAGTGACCTGACCACGGACACAGCTGTGTCAAACCTTCACACCAAAACTAACACAACAACCAGTACAGGACCGAAGGGCCAATACTGCTCAGGTGAGGTAGCATGTATATAATAGGTATTGATGTATTAAAATTAGGCTCTGTATGCTTGTTGATTGCATTATAATGTTCTTTTTTTCAGATATGGAGGTCAGAGAGTTACCAGAGGGGTAAGTTGTGATGGATAAATGAGCCTGTAACATATTCTAAAGAAAATGATGACACTTAAATCTATAAACCAAACATAAACAAACCAAATTCTGGTCTGTCAGCAAAGTCACAAAGCACACTACAGTGTGGCTGAATTAGGTGACATTATAGACTCATGTTTTGGGTTGTCCGGCACCAGATAACTTTATTAAGTGTGGCTCGGTTGCAACTGGCTAGCTAACCTTAGTTGGCTTGCTCGCTAATGTTATCACGAGCAAAATACTATCTAAATGGATATGTTAGTTGGCTAACGTCAGCTAGCCAAATTACTTCACCAGCTAAGGTGACCCATGATACTAACTTGTGTTGTTATGACAAATGGTGTTGATTTTAGCCAACAATAAATGATAACAATCTCTAGCTTGTTCTTCACTTGTTTAATGTGATGTACTCCAAATTGGTCTATAGCGGATATTACCATGTAGGTCTGTCAGTTTTCTCAGCCCAATTTCTCCATACCAGTTAAACACAAGAGGAAGAACCCTAAGTTAGATATTCTCCAGTGTTTACAATGCAATGTATTTACACACAGTAAAAGTAAAACTTAATCTCACTTTATACTTCCTGTCATGTGATAGGACTGCACGCAACATGTCATGTTGTGTGCGTGACAAAGGTCCCTGTCTGCCCTTTTTTTATTGTCACCAGTCTCTGATTGATCCCCCTGTATATGTGGGATTTCCACTGGACTGTTATTATTATTATTATTATTAAACATAAGGTTTCAGCTTGTATATCCCTGTGGAAATAGTAGTTTGACTAAATAAACAAACAAAAAACATATTTACTTAGGGTCTACTTGCTAGCTTTACTCAAGGGGCCTCATTTATAAAATGGAAGATCAATTTTGATCTTAAGTGTGACGCAGAAGAACCCTGTATTAGTTGTTATTTATAATAAAATATGTGGAAGTGGAAATTCTATTATTTCTAAGCAAAGTCTAGACTTGACCTAAGTAATTTCTTTCTGGTTATGTTAGGGTATTGCAGCCACTACTGTACCTTCACTGTGTGTGTCTTTTGGTCCATGGCTATTCCTGACTAAACCCTCATCTGTGCTAGCATAATAAATTCCATCCGTGGTCACACCTACTAGAATTATAAAATATGTCTTGATTTGGGGCACAGAAGAAACGTTGCCACAAAGAATCAGCTGACTGCCACCGTAGACAAGTGATAAATATGAAAAGTTCTATGACCTATGTATGACCTTTAGATTAAAATTCTTATTGCAGACGTTCCCCCTCCTCTGATATGGGAGTGACTGGAGAGTCAGAGAGCTTCTGGAAAGCGAGCAGTATTTATGAAGGTAAGAAGTAAGAGGAACAGGAGTCCCACGTCAAGCTGTTAAGCATATCTGCTCTGTGTCCATATGCACGTCCAAGTGAGGATGTTTTTGTGTTTGCTTGCTCTTGGACAGCCCAGACATCACATCGAGCTAAGGAGTGGCTTAGTGTGGTTTCAGAGCTCACACTGCGATTGAACAAAGGTACACAACCTGTCTGTAGTGTTAGATTTAGTACTAGCTAGCTTGTAGCAAAGTAGAATGCTGTGTTTTAGTGAGGTTCCTTCTGTTTCCCTGCTCTGTCGAGCAGAGATGTGAACTTCATTCATGTCATTTTCGAGGTCAACTTCAACCACTGTTTTGATGACTTGCAACTTCACTTAACAGAAAATAAATGTACTTAACACTTGGACTTGGAAGTTAAAGACTCGTGACTAGAATGACTTTAAGCATAAAATATTAACATTGTGGAAGGTTATCAATGTAATCAAAAGTGAAGGTGAGGGACTATTTTTAAGAAGAAATAAAAAAAGCTTTTCTGAAGTTATTTATTTTTTGTTTGATTACCTTTATTTCACTGAATATCAATAATTATAATACAAATTGAATTAAAGCTGCAGTAGATAAAATAACAAAAATGTCACTATATCCTGAGAGTAGTACAGGATCTGTGAAAAAAAATCAGGTTCCTTTGTGTTGCATACGTGAATAAAGACTCAGTGTGACTTAGTACTTTCTTCCTTTACTGGCACTGCAAAATACAGACATTACTTTGTTTCTGTTCAGTGCTCTTTTCTTAACACTATGGTACGATGTTTGTGCTTTGACTCCTGTACTGTTTACTCTTGACAGAAGTGCTCACTTCAGGCTATACTCTCTCTTGTGGCCTAAGGGAGCAACAACACTTTTTCTGCTACAATGCCTGAGTGCCTTAAACTGGAGCACAGTGACTCTTTTAACAACATAAAACAATACATATTTTAATAAACATTACCTACTGTAATGTAATGAAATGAAATGAGATAAAAATGAAATGATATATATAGATTTATATAATATATCTATATATTTATATTTTTTCCTGCATTAAACTATAGCTTATTCTATAAACTCCTTGTCCCTCAAAAATTGAATGGCCCAAGATTATGACATTATCAGTCCACATGTTATACGTATGCATTACATTCAGAAGGTAATAGCTAAAGTCAGAATTCCATCAAGTCCATGAAGATGCATTACTATTTCCACTAAACCATATGACATGTATCTCCCATTAATGCCATATGTTTGCAGCAGGTGTCATTGTGCATGATAGCAGTCCACTGCCACTTCAGATCACAAGTATGGGTATCTGCAATTCAATTCAATTCAGTTCAATTTTATTTGTATAGCACCAATTCATAACAGAAGTCATCTCAGGACACTTTTCAAATAGAGCAGGTCTAGACCGAACTCTTTAAAACATTATTTACAGAGACCCAACAGTACCACCATGAGCAAGCACTTGGCGACAAGGGCAAGGAAAAACTGCCTGTTAAAAGGCGGAAACCTAGGACAGATCCTTCGGCTCTAGGTGGGTGGTTGTCTGTCTCGACCAGTTGGGGTGAGAGAGAGAGAGAGAGAGAGAGAGACAGAGAGACACAGAGAGACAGACAGACAGACAGGTGCACAGCAACAACAGTATTGGCAATGGCAATCTAGCAGGACCATGGCAGGGGGCTCCACCAGGATCGATAAGAACCTGCGAGACGAGAAAGCACAAGAACTCTGGGGAAGAAGTGAAGTTAGTAACATGCATTAATGGGACATGAATGAGTGCAGAAAGAGAGAGGAAGAGAGGAGATCAGTGTACCATAGGAAATCCCCCGATAGTCTAGGCCTTTGGCAGCATAACTAAGGGATGGTTCAGGACTCACCTGAGCCAGCCCTAATTATAAGCTTTATCGAGAGGAATGTCTTAAGCCTACTCTTGAATGTGGTGAGGGTGTCTGCCTCCCGAACCACAAGTGGAAGCCGGTTCCATAGGAGAGGAGCTTGGTAACTGAAGGCTCTGGCTCCTGTTCTACTTTTAGAGACTATAGGAACCACAAGTAGCCCAGCATTCAGAGAACGTAGTGTTCTAGGGGGTAATAGGGTACTATGAGCTCTTTGAGATATGAAGGGGCCTGACCATGAAGAGCTTTATAGGTGAGGAGGAGGATTTTAAATTCTATTCTACATTTTACAGGGAGCCAGTGCAGAGAAGCTAGTACAGGAGAGATGTGATCTCTTTTTCTAGTTCCTGTCAGTGCTCGTGCTGCAGTGTTCTGAATAAATTGGAGCGTTTTAATGGACTTATTGGGGCAACCTGATAATAAAGAGTTGCAGTAATCCAGCCTTGAAGTAACAAATGCATGGATTAGTTTTTCTGCATCTGTCTGTGATAGGATGTGTCTAATTTTTGTAATATTACAATACATCTGCATCTTTTCAGAGTAAGTTTCTATGACATGGCAATAACCTCCTCTCTGAATAAACGTGGTTCAGTAGTTACAGTGGGTTACTCCATTCTCTAATACTTGATCTTGTCGCTAATGTCTCTGTTTATCTTTTTTTTCCTTCCTTGTCCACTTTCGCCACCAGCAGATAGTCACATGGCAGCATGAGGTTCCTATAGAGGACATGGAGCTCATACACTCGTTTTCTTTTTGTCACCACAAACACTTGTTCTTTCCAAAACAATCTCAACTTCCCTGGTCTTCCGTTTCATTGAGATTTCGGACCAACACCCTGCCTCCAGGGTACAACTCTGCACCATAGTCCTTCTTGTAATAGAGAGCTTTGCCGCGTCTGCCCTCTTTACATGCTTTCTCGGACGCCTGCCTGTAAGCATCAGTCATTCGAGCTTTCTACTTCTCAGTATAGTCTCTGTGGAATGAGCTTTGATCTTTTACTGTGAGGCTGAATATCAGGTCAACAGGGTGCCTTGGGTTTCGTCCAAATAAGAGAAAGTAAGGTGCATAGCCAGTGGCCTCACTGCATGTGCAATTATAAGTGTTTTCACCTCAGCCAGTGAAACTTTCCAGCCTGCCTTACCTGTCTTTGGGAGGTTTCTGATCATTGCCAGCAGTGTCCCATTGAATCTTACCACCTGGCCATTCCCCTGTGGATGGTATGTTGTAGTCCTGGACCCCTTAACTTCACTGTATACCTCAAGCTTAGCAAACACTTTGTTTTCAAGCTCCTTCCCCTGGTCAGGTGGAGTTTTTGCAAATCGCAATACAAAGTCCAATCCAATCCAAATATTTTCTCTGCAGGGTTAGGCCTGAGGATATATTTATACCCTTCTTTACATTTCTCCAAATTTAAGAAATCAATAGCCACCAGCTCAAACGGATATGTGGTGATGATGTTGGTGGGGGGAGTTCTTGTTAGTTTATTGGGACGTTTGTTTTTTAGTGAACTGCATGTGTGATGTAATGCTCAACATTCCTCTGCATGTAAGGCTAATAAAAGCCGTCAAGGATGAGAGTCAGATCTCTTTCTACTCCAAGGTGACCCATCTTTTCATGCAGTTCTTTATAGACAAGCTTGTGGAACCTCTTGGGCAGGGGTAGCTGTGTCTTCCTCTACAGTAAACCCTCATCACCAATGTGCAGTTTCTGTCTTTTTTTTTACCAGAGCAGCAATGATACAGCATCGGGAGCAATTTGGGTTCAGTATCTTGCTCAAGGATACTTTGACACATGCAGCCAGAGGAGCTGGGGATCGAACCAAGAACCCGCTGTACCTCTGAGCCACAAATGCCCATACATGGTTCCAACACCATCATCAAGTTTGTGAACACAACGGTGATTGGCCTCATCAGTGACAATGATGAGACGGACCACAGGGAGGAGGTCCAGCACCTGGCGACCTGGTGCGCCGACATAACCTGGCCATCAACTGGAACAACTTTTCCCCATCAGCTGTCACCCTGCTAAACTCTGCACAAAAGTGACCCCCCTTCCTCCTGAGTGACTGAACTCCTATTTAAGCTCCCACACCCTAACACATATTTATACTGTCCTACTGTACATATCTATATAATATATAGTATATAATGTCAACCAATTTAATTACCTGCACTTACATCCACACTATATAATTACTGCTAATGCTGTTCATACTGTACATATCTTAACTTAATTAACCAACAATATATAATTTCACCATAATTATACTTTTTGCAATTGCGACTGCTGCTGCTGCTGCTGCACAAGCTGTACATACACTGAACAAAATTATAAATGCAACACTTTTGTTTTTGCCCCCATTCATCATGAGCTGAACTCAAAGATCTAAGGTCATAGAGAGGCTTTGATATGCGTGAAAAGTTTGGGATATAGTTGGGATAAGTTACTCACTTCCACAACAGTGGTGGGGATCCTTTGCTTTAAAGCCTGGACAGGGGCAATATCTGCAGGGTCCATGGTATGACCATCCTTGATGAGCCTCCCCAGGAATCTCATCTGATTTTTGAAGTTCAAATTTTCTTGCTGTCAATTTAGCTCTGGTCTCTACAGGACCCTCTTCAAATAATTCATCCCCTCGGGATGAGAGTCACTGCATTTATCACTCTATCCAACAGGCAGGTGATCACATTTTTCTTCCCAACCAGACTGAGGAGTTAAGATCTTCGTTTTGGGGAGAGGAGACTGACACTGATTGCTTTGTTTATCTTGTCAGATGTGCTAGCGCCCTTTTTTTTGCCTTGAATGCTGTCAGTTATGAGCGTATGAACATCTTTTGCTGCTCACTCTGGTTACGTTTAGTAACAGATGGAGATGGATGGGATGTTACAGTGCTAGTGGACATATCAACCTGCTCTGACCTGTCTGACATGAGCTTCCTCTGCGTCCAACACCCCCTGGACAGATGACCACTTTGTCAACACTTGAAGCAATGGTCGCACTGATCTCCTCTGTTGCTGTCCTGACAATCCCTAAAGCCCCGCTTCCTAGTTGGATGGTGAAGTCTATATGATTCCTGAATAACCCCCTTTCAGCTCTTTCATCTTTTAAATAAAAAATAAATCAAGTTAGCAGTCGGGACATATCTCCACTAGAATGCATAGTATTGTTTTTTATTGCAGCCAATGCTGCTCCCCCTGCTAGCCTTTACATAGAATGCAGGTTTAAAGATACTTCTGCATTGGCTTCACTTTTCAGACCTGGAAGTCTATTATATATACTGTCAGTGGTTTTAGAGACATGAGATCCGTTAAGTTCAGCTCTACGTCACAACATTTGTAAACAAAAAACAGCATTAAGGCCTTCTGATCAGAGAAGGGGGGGCCCACCTCCCACACTGACAGTCCCCCGACACACACACACACACACAGAGTTAGCAGCTAGCTCAGCTACAACACAGCTGCTAGCTAGGCTACAACTCACCCACAACATATAAACTTCTATAATCGACCGTCAAAGTGCTTCTGCTTTTAATTCGGTTATGGCTACAAATGTTTACAATTGGAGACTGTAAGATTCACTTTAGGTCTATAACAATGATAAATTAATTTAATTAATTAAAAACATTAATTTCGTTATAATCTTTTCTCAAAGCCACATGCAGTTTGCCTATCCATGGATTAGATACATTGGCCAATAATATCATTACTAGACAGGTACTAATACCTTATCTTTTTTTTGCAGGTAGACTTGAGTTGACTTGAAATTTCTCAGGACATCAATGGCTTGAGGCTTGCACCAAATGACTTGAGTCACATGTCTGCTGTTGAGTTAGAATAGATAGCCAAAGTCCTGTAATTATTTTCTAAATGGGAAATGGGCCGGTCTGAACTAGCTGTTAGCATTAGGAATAACTAGCTGTCCTCTGCTCCTTACCCCTGCAATGTACATCAACTAATTTCTCTGTACACTGAGAAGTGAGTTGTGGGATTATTGAAGTAGTGAGCTTGTGTTTGTGCAGCAAGTTATGTTTAATTGTATTATACAAGTCTTGACAGGTCACACTAATGTGTATGTTAAACCTGTTCTTCAGACGCTCCCTGTGTCATGAATTTAAATGAGTAATCTTCCCTGAAGGCAGTGAGGCTTTTATTAGGGAATAAACATGAATTCCAAGTCTTTATAGAAATCACATGAAAGACAGGTGTGCTTTGTGTGAGTGCTCTGCTAAAAATAACAACACATTGATTTATCGGCACTCAAAAAACACAGAAAATCAGCATATTCACCCTATGACACCTCAACTGTAGTATCAAAATGATTTTAGACCTGTTACTTAATGTTTTCTTAATGAAAGCCTTTGTTTCAACTCTTGCCAGACAGACATGTGGCCTGCACTTACCATTGGGCCACCGAGGCACTCTGGTTTGGATATTCTGTCATAATATATAATATGATGGAGATCTGGTAAGGTCCTTAAAAGCTGCAGTTGGTAACCTTTATAAAAATAACTTTTGTCACTACTACTACTATACTAACTACTATATCCTGACAGTAGTACATAAATAGATATATAGATAGATAGATAGATAGATAGATAGATAGATAGATAGATAGATAGATAGATAGATAGATAGATAGAAATACTTTATTTATCCCTGAAGGGAAATTATAATGTTATAGCAGCTGATTAAGAGTCAATTATTATTAGAAGGTTTTATTGCAGTGGGGAGAAACAATTTTCTATATCGTTCCTTAGAGCTGCAGGGATGAATGAGTCTGATACTGACGCTGCTCTTTAGCTTGTCCAGTGTTGTGTGGGGGGGGTATGAGGGATTGTCCATGATTGCCAGCAGTTTTGCCAGCATCCTCTCCTCCAGGGTGACAAGCTTAGAGCCAACAACAGACTCGGCCTTCTTGATGAGCTTGTTCAGTCTGTTGGCGTCCTTTGCCTTGATGCCCGCACCCCAGGACACCGCAGCAAAGAAGATGGTGCTCGCCACAACAGACTGATAGAACATCTGCAACATCCTGTTGCAGATGTTGAAGGACCTGAACCTCCTCAGGAAGGAAGGCCGGCTCAGGCCCTTCTTGTAGATGGCCTCTGAGTTTGTGGACCAGTCCAGTTTGTTGTCCAGTGTGACACCCAAGTCAAATCCACATCTGTCCCACCGATGCTGACAGGAAAGGACAGGGGGTTTTTCCTCCTGAAGTCCACCACCATCTCCTTTGTCTTTGCCACGTTCAGCTGCAGGTGGTTCTCCCCACACCACTTCACAAAGTGATCAACCAGGTCCCTGTACTCAGCCTCCCCTCTGCCCTCCAGACCCCCTACAATAGCCGTCATCAGAGTATTTCTGCAGATGACACGACTGGGATACTGCAGTACTTAAAGTCTGCACTGTAGGTGGTGAAGAGGAAGGGAGACAGTACAGTTCCCTGGGGGCTCCAATGTTACTAATCAGACGGTCAGACACACAATTCTTTAATCTCAAAAACTGCAGTCTGCCCGTCAGATAGTCATCGACCCATGTGCACCCACGCCACCTGCGTGTTCTCCAGTTTGGCTTTCAGCAGTCTGGGCTGGATGGTGTTGAAGGCGCTGGAGAAGTCGAAGAACATGATGCAGACAGGGGTGTCAGGTCTGTCCAGGGAGGAATAGGCCTTCTGCAACAGGTAGATGAGTGCATCATCAACCCCCACATGAGGTTGATATGTAAACTGCAGGGGGGCTTGCGATGGGCACACTAATGGTCTGAGGTGTGCCAAGACCAGTCTCTCCCTGACCTTCATCATGTGAGAGGTCAGAGCTACCGGCCCGTAGTCCTCCAGTGTCACGACGTCCTTTTTTGGGCACTGGGACCAGGCAGGATGTTTTCCAGAGCACTGGCACTCTCTGAATGTGTAGACTCAGATTGAAGAGGTGCTGGAAAACTCCACAGAGCTGGCTGGAACATGCCTTCAGTACACAAGGGCTGATGCGGTCCGGTCCAGCAGCTTACCTCTGTTTGAGCCTCTCCAGCTCTCTCCTCACTTGGCTGACTGTGATATGAAGTCCAGTCTGGGAGCAGGGGGATGTGACAGGGTCTGTAGGGGGGTGTCAGCAGCAGATTGGGGGGTGGAGATGACGAGGTTGATACAGAGAGGTGTCTGCTGCAGGAGGTGGTAGGGGGCTGTGGGGGCTGTGAGGGCTGTGGGAGTGTCCTGGGGTTGTTGCTCAGAGGAGCAGTAGAGGGGCTGCCAGGGGTGCGGGAGTTGAAGTTAAACCTGTTGAAGAACTGGTTCAACTCGTTGGCTCGTTGTTCGTTCCCCTCAGCTGCACTCCCACCTCTCCCCTGAAAGCTGGTGATCTCTCTCATCCCACTCCACACGTCCCTGGTGTTCTCCAGTTTGTCCTCCAGATTTCTCCTGTATGCATCCTTACTCCCCCTCATGCTGTGTTTGAGCTCTTTTTGTACACGCTTGAGGTCTGCTCGGTCCCCTGATCTAAAGACCCTCTTCTTCTCATTGAGAAGGGCCTTCAGGTTGCTGGTTGTTGTTTGGGTAGCATCGGATCTCCTTGGAGGGGATGGAGTTGTCAATGCAGAACCTAATGTACTCAGAGACACAGTCAGTAAGGCTATCAATGTCCTCCCCGTGTGACTCATACAGAGCATCCCAGTTGGTGGCCTCCAGCGCTCCATGCAGTGTTTCTATGGCCTGAGGAGACCATTTCCTCAGATGATCTGTGAGAAAAGCAGGTTCCTCTAACTCCTCCTAGTGCTCCTGGTGGAATTTGCAAGAACGAAAACAACCAATAAGAGCCAAGAAAGATAGTTGATTACATGCATTAAATACAGATGCTTTGGAAGCCTAGGAATGAGACTCAATTAACTATCTTCAAGCCTCCGACCCAAAGTGTCGTTATATCTTTCCCGGCTCTGATTGGTTGTTTTTGTTCAGGTCTGTGTCATGACACATTTACCACAGTGAAAAATTCAGCAAATATGATAAAGCATTATCTTTAAAAAAGTTACCTACCTGCAGCTTTAACAGTCATAATGAAACCAATGGTTCTATTGTTTTGTAGGACAGCCTTCTTTTATGCCAGAAGGCTGTCAGCAGGACACTGCTGAGGCTGAGGTGTCCTCACCAGTCAGTCCACTGACGGAACATCACACAGCTGGTGTAGACGGACAAACCAACCAGAGTACAATGACCTGCAGCCCAGACAGTGTGGTCAGAGACCCAGAAGTCATCTATGATGATGTGCCTGCTGAGAATACGCAGCACCCAGTGGTAGGTGAGTCTCCTACAGTTTGATTATTTTCACATTTTAGAAACTGCCATATAGCAGTGTCCTGCCTGAAAAGGTACTGATCAGTCTGTAACCACGCACGCCAGAGTTAATTATTAATCATATTAAATTAAACTAAAGTTTGTTTATTTTGTCTCTTGGCTTCTGTGTGCAGATGTTGATGACATCTATGAAGACATCCAGAGACCTGATCACTGTGGCTCCAACGGCTGGAGCTTCAGTGAGTTTGAGAATTATGATGAGCTGTCAGACAGTGAGACTGTTCCTGTAGCCCTCAGCAGCAGCAAGGTAACTCATTTAGACATTTTATTTTAAATGTGAATAACTTTCAGTATTAGGGACACTGCTGTTACTGGTGTGCTGCAGCTAGACATTTCCCCTGACCCACTATGATGAAGACTGTCTTTTTCAACTTTCCGGCCCAGCAGGTTTTCACATACAACAAATTTTTGTATAGTAGTGCATAAAATATAAAGAAAGCCAGCAAGTACTGCAAGTCAAGATGTATAAATAAAAAAAATGGCAAATTGACAGTAACATATGAAAATATTATAAAAACAATATTCAATTCAATTCAATTCAATTCAATTTTATTTGTATAGCGCCAATTCATAACAGAAGTTATCTCAGGACACTTTTCAAATAGAGCAGGTCTAGACCGAACTCTTTAACATTAATTACAGAGGCCCAACAGTACCACCATGAGCAAGCACTTGGCGACAAGGGCAAGGAAAAACTGCCTGTTAAAAGGCAGAAACCTAGGACAGATCCTCCGGCTCTAGGTGGGTGGTCGTCTGTCTCGACCAGTTGGGGTGAGAGAGAGAGAGAGAGAGAGAGAGAGAGAGAGAGAGCGACAGACAGACAGACAGGTGCACAGCAACAACAGTATTGGCAATGGCAGTCAAGCAGGACCATGGCAGGAGGCTCCACCAGGATCCATGAGAACCTGCGAGACGAGAAAGCACAAGAACTCCGGGGAAGAAGTGGAGTTAGTAACATGCATTAAAGGGGCATGAATGAGTGCAGAAAGAGAGAGGAAGAGAGTAGCTCAGTGCACCATGGGAAATCCCCCGATAGTCTAGGCCTATAGCAGCATAACTAAGGGATGGTTCAGGACTCACCTGATCCAGCCCTAACTATAAGCTTTATCAAAGAGGAATGTCTTAAGCCTACTCTTAAATGTGGTGAGGTCGTCTGCCTCCCGAACCACAACTGGAAGCTGGTTCCACAGGAGAGGAGCTTGGTAACTGAAGGCTCTGGCTCCTGTTCTACTTTTAGAGACTATAGGAACCACAAGTAGCCCAGCATTCAGAGAACGTAGTGTTCTAGTGGGGTAATAGGGTACTATGAGCTCTTTAAGATATGAAGGGGCCTGACCATGAAGAGCTTTATAGGTGAGGAGGAGGATTTTAAATTCAATTCTACATTTTATAGGGAGCCAATGCAGAGTAGCTAGTACAGGAGAGATGTGATCTCTTTTTCTAGTTCCTGTCAGTACTCGTGCTGCAGCGTTCTGAATTAATTGGAGCGTTTTAATGGACTTATTGGGGCAACCTGATAATAAAGAGTTGCAGTAATCCAGCCTTGAAGTAACAAATGCATGGATTAGTTTTTCTGCATCTGTCTGTGATAGTATGTGTCTAATTTTTCTAATATTACGTAAATGAAAGAAGGCAGTCCTAGAGGTCTGCTTTATGTGGGAGTTAAATGACAAATCCTGATCAAAGATAACTCCAAGATTCCTGACAGTGGTGCTAGAGGCCAAGTTAATGCCATCTAGAGTGATCTTTAGACAATGAGTCTCTAAGGTTTTTGGGGCCAAGAACAAGAATTTCGGTTTTTTCTGAGTTTAACATCAGAAAATTGCAGGTCATCCAGGATTTTATGTCCTTAAGACATGTTTGTAATTTAGATAATTGATTAATTTCATTGGGTTTGATTGATAGATATAACTGCGTATCATCTGCATAACAGTGAAAGTTAATGGAGTGATTCCTAATAATGTTGCCTAAAGGGAGCATATATAAAGTAAATAGTATTGGTCCAAGTACAGAACCTTGTGGAACTCCATGACTAACTTTAGTATTTTTGGAGGATTCATCGTTAACATGTACAAACTGAGAACGATCTGATAAGTATGACTTAAACCAGGTTAGGGCAGTTCCTTTAATGCCAATTTGATGCTCAAGTCTCTGTAAAAGAATATCATGGTCAATGGTGTCAAATGCAGCACTAAGATCTAATAATACAAGTACAGAGACAAGTCCATTGTCAGAAGCAGTCAGAAGGTCATTATTAACTTTAACCAGAGCTGTCTCTGTGCTATGATGAACTCTAAATCCTGACTGAAAATCCTCAAATAAACTATTGTTATGTAGAAAGTCACACAACTCTTTGGCGACTACTTTCTCCAGAATCTTAGAGAGGAACGGGAGGTTAGAAATCGGTCTATAGTTGGCTAAAACCCCTGGGTCAAGAGTGGACTTTTTAAGAAGGGGTTTAATTACAGCTACTTTAAAGGACTGTGGTACATATCCTGATAATAAAGAAAGATTAATCATATCCAGTACAGAAGTGCCAATTAAGGGAACAACTTCTTTAAGCAGCCTAGTTGGGATCGGGTCTAATAGACCGGTTGATGGCTTCGATGAAGAAATGATTGAAGTTAACTGATGAAGAGCGATAGCAGAAAAACAGTCTAAATAAATATCTAAGTTTACATTGACAGAAGTCCCTGAACTTGGAGAGCCACTGATAACTGTTGATGGCAGTTGGTGATTAATTTTTTCTCTAATAGTAATAATTTTATTATAGAAGAAGCTCATGAAGTCATTGCTACTTAAGTTTATGGGGATATGTGGCTCGATAGAGCTGTGACTCTCTGTCAGCCTGGCTACAGTGCTGAAGAGGAACCTAGGGTTGTTCTTATTTTCTTCTATTAGTGCTGAGTAATAGGCTCCTCTGGCATTACGGAGGGCCTTTCTATAAATCTTAAGATCATCTTGCCAATTTGAGCGATATTCTGATAATTTGGAAGAGCGCCATTTCCTTTCAGATTTTCTAGCTATTTGTTTTAACTGGCGGGTTTGGTGGTTATACCAAGGTGCTAGTCTCCTATGTTTTAATAATTTCCTTTTTATAGGAGCGATAGAGTCTAATGTTGATCGTAGTGAGCCTGTAGCACTATCGACAAGATTATCAATTTCAGAGGGACTAAAGTCATTATAGGACTCTGTTAAATTCAGACATGGCATTGAATTAAACACTGAAGGAATCTCCTCCTTAAATTTAGCTACAGCACTGTCAGATAGACATCTGCTGTAGGAAGTTTTGCCTAATGGCTTATAATCTAATAGTATGAATTCAAAAGTTACTAAATAATGGTCAGATAGGAAAGGATTATGTGGGAAGACTATTAAATGTTCAATATCAATGCCATATGATAAAACAAGGTCAAGAGTGTGATTAAAACAATGAGTTGGTTTATTTACACTCTGACAGAAGCCAATTGAGTCTATTAATGATATAAATGCATTACTAAGGCTGTCATTGTCAACATCCACATGAATATTAAAATCACCTACAATAATTACTTTATCTGATTTAAGGACTAAGCTTGATAGAAACTCTGAAAATTCAGATATAAAATCAGAGTACGGTCCAGGAGCGCGGTACACTATAACAAATAGAACTGGCTGCAGTGTTTTCCAGTTTGGGTGAGAAAGACTAAGAACAAGGCTTTCAAATGAATTATAATTTAGTTTAGGTTTAGGGTCCATTAAAACGCTCGAATCATATATGGCTGCCACTCCACCTCCTCGGCCAGTGCCTCGAGGAATGTGAGTATTAATATGACTGGGGGGGGTGGATTCATTTAGGCTAACATACTCCTCGTGGGACAACCAGGTCTCAGTAAGACAAAGTAAATCAATATCATAATCTGATATTAATTCATTCACTAAAACAGCTTTAGAGGACAGAGACCTGATATTTAACAGCCCACATTTCATTCTCTTATTTTGTGATACTGAGGAGTTGGTTTTAATTATTATTAGATTTTTATGTTGAACTCTAATATGTACAATATGAACATGAGAGTCAGTGTCAGTGGGGGTCCCGGGCCTTGCCAATGGGTAGAAACAGTTCTTATGCAATGAGGTTTTGGTCCTGCTGATGAGGGAAGGGACTCAAAAAATTGGGAAGGGTCGGCCACACCTCAGCGTCCTGGAGGAGTACAGGCCCTTGAGGGATAGCAAATGGTAAACAAAAATAATGAAGGCATATTGTGTAATAAAGGCATATTAAATCAGATCAGTCAGGTATAGAATGGTGAACTGGTGAATAATGGTACCATTAGCTGGCTTATGCTGCCCTTTATTGCTAAATATCTGTAGACAAAGAAAAATGGTAAAATATTGATGCAATGAATGCAATTTGGTGCAAAAGGCAAACAAATAATAACCTAGATATAAACAATAGATACGGAATATTTACAACACAAACTGGTCCATTAAGAGTATTTTAAAGCTGCAGTACATACGTTTTATAAAAAATATGTTCTTGTCATTGCTGAAACTTTCACTATATCCAGTATCCAGACAGTAGCACATGAGACAGATAATATGTGAAAAAAATCATATTCCTTGTTCTAGCTCCCAATGGCAAGAAACCTGGACGAAAAACAACCCGAGGTCAATCAGAGCCAAGAAAGATATAAAGACGCTTTGGGTTGGAAGCTTAAAGATAGTTGATTTTTTAATCTCATTCAAATACAAATATCAGTCTTTATTGTCATTTCCCAGTATCTATAGCATTTATATACATGAAATAAAATGTGTCCTCTGCATTTGACCCATCCTATATACATTACTATATAAATGAGGAGCAGTGAGCAGCCATAGGCGCCCAGGGAGCAGTTAGGGGTTAGGTGCCCCCTCAACATTTTATAATGATAATTATATATAATATAATTATATTTTACTATTACTTACTACTATTACTATTATTAATCAATTTATTTCATTTAAAACATATATTTCTTTTTCAATTAAATTAAATTAAATTATATTTGTATAGCGCCAATTCATAACAGAAGTTATCTCAGGACACTTTTCAAAATAGAGCAGGTGTAGACCTTATAAAATTATTTACCGAGACCCAACAGTTCCCACCATGAGCATGCACTTGGCGACGGTGGCAAGGAAAAAGACAGAGAGACAGAGAGAGAGAGAACAGAGGTAACGACAGAAGGACACAGACAGAGACAAGGGTGCACAGCAACAACAGTAGCAACAACTACACTAATAGTAGTGACTGATAGTGACGTAAACTTAGATAAGAACAATAGTGAAAGTTAATGGAGTGATTCCTAATAACATTGCAAAAAGGAAGCATATATAAAGTGAATAGAACCTTGTGGAACTCCATGACTAACTTTGGTATTTATGTAGGATTCATCGTTAATGTGTACAAACTAGAACGATCTGATAAATATGACTTAAACCAGCTTTGGGCTCTATCTTGCCGATCTGAAACGCAAGTATCAAATGCTAAACGCAAGTAGCTTTGTGGGCGGATCTCGGGCACTGTTGCTATTATGCCGGTGGGATAAATGACTCTTGCGCCCAGCGCAAATCTAAAATGGGTTGGTCTGAAGTAGCTACATTAGTCATAGGTGTGGTTTGGGCGTAACGTGCAAGAAACCAATCAGAGCGTCCTCTCACATTCCCTTTAAAAGCAGGCGCGCTTGTTCCATGGCGGATTGCTATTATAACGGCGGATTTGCCAGGTGCACGCCAGGAGCGGTTCACAACCGAGGAGACCGACGTTCTCGTCAGAGCCGTAAAATACAGAGGAGTGACATTATTGACATGAAATAAATGTAACACAGCCATACAATAAATCAAAACAATGTAAGGCAGCTTCGCAGGAAGAAGACCCTGGGGCCTTGGGAGCAGTGCGCACGGGCCGAGCAGTGCGCAAGGGCCAGCTGAGGAGGGAGCAGCGTGAACACCAAGGTGCAGAGGATCCAGACCTGCTTCACGCCGGAGGACCACCTGTTCCAGCAGCAAACTGGGTTTGACGTGCTGGAGCAGGAGCTGTCCGGGATGCGCCACAGTATTAATGCCCGTCTTGACCGGGTGGCGATGTTGCTGCGGCCTCTCAGGCGCATCCCCTCAAGTCTGCGCCCTTAAAATAGCATCTGAATAAGCGCCACTGACTTTAGACTAGGTTTTTCCTGGTCTGTGGCGGAATTGTTTTCTGAAACAGCATAATAGCACCAGGGAACGTTTGCGCCGGAACACGCCTCCTCTTTTCCTCTTTGCAAGTTCATTCCCTAATTTAACGACGTGCGTCGGTGGAGGGAAAATTCCAATGTGCGTGCAAAATAGGAATTATACAAGCGCCAGTGTACAAAGTCAATTGCGCTCAGTGCAAGATAGAGCCCTTAGTGCGGTTCCTTTAATGTCGATTTGATGCTCAAGTCTTTGTAAAAGAATATTAGGGTTAACGGTGTCAAATGAAGCACTAAGATCTAATAATACAAGTACAGAGACAAGTTCATTGTCAGAAGCAATTAAAAAGTTGTTATTAACTTTAACCTATGTATAACTGTGCATGTGACAAATAAAACCTCTTATCTTATCTTATCTTATCTTATCTTATCTTAACCAGTGCCGTCTCTGTGCTGTGATGAACTCTAAATCCTGACTGAAAATCCTCAAATAAGCTATTGCTATGTAGAAAGTCACACAACTGCTTGGCGACTACTTTCTCCAGAATCTTAGAGAGGAAGGGGAGGTTAGAAATCGGTTTATAGTTGGCTAAAACCCCTGGGTCAAGAGTGGGCTTTTTAAGAAGGCGTTTAATTACAACTACTTTAAAGGACTGTGGTACATGTCCCGACAATAAATAAAAGATTGATCATATTCAGTAAAGAAGTGCCAATAAAGGGTAAGACTTCTTTAAGCAGCGTAATTGGGATGGGGTCTAACAGACAGGTTGATGGCTTCGATGTAGAAATTATTGAAGTAGTTGATGCAGCTCAATAGCAGAAAAAATAATATATAAATATAATATATATCTTATAAATATATATCTGATTTTACATTAGTTAAAGTTCCTGAACTTGGAGAGACAGCGATACCTGTTATGGGCATTTGGTATTAATTTTGTCTCGAATAGTAATAATTTTATCAAAAAAGAAGCTCATAAACTTAGATTCTTCCTTATAGCACCACCAGAGGGAGCTTGCGTACCACCAATGGTACATGTACCATAGTTTAGGAACCACTGAGCCTGTTTGGACCTGGTGTTAACATGAGTCTTAGGTGATCCCATCACAAATAGACAGCTTTAAGTAAGTCAGTTTACACCTGGCATTAGAATGCGTCTCCACATGTGACCACTTATGATCAAATAAGCTCTATAGTGCTGAACCCTGCTCCAATTTTTGTTAGTCACTGTCAATTATTACTGTCTTTTTTGCTGTTCAATGCAGAGATTCATTCCTTTTTTTCTGTTTAGTGCCACACTCCTCCTTCAGGAGAGATGCTTCGAGGTGCACTATGGGATTTTATAAATGAACTATATCAGCAGGACTTTTTAAGTTTGAGTGATCAAATCACAATGTGTCTTTGAGGTCGTTTACACAAGTATTTAGCCCTGTCGGCTGTATGTCATGTTCCATACATAATTTTATGCATGATCCACGATGATAAAAATACAGAAAAAGTAAAAATTTCACACATCATGTTTTCAAGAGAGCTTATCTCTCATTAGAGTAGTTTGCACCTGGATTCAGCTCATACAGACTAGGTGCAAGATGGTCTAGTACCTTCCCTGCGACTGCAAGGGGTGATGGAATAATCCCAATCACAGCAGAAACAGGGTTTTCTCTGCTGTTGCACATATTGAAAGGGAGTCCCTAGTCCATCAAAGTATTAGTCACTTACATTTAGAGAGTTGAGTTTGAGTTTAGAGTTGAAATTGTGTGTAACTGTTCAGTGAAAGTGATATATGTAACATGTATCATCAATCATATGCTGACAAACTGATACCTTTTGTGAAACATTATGTTGGAGAGGTTTGCGTCATTTCAATGCCACAGTCGAAAGGATGTGACATTTTTTCCCACATAAAGAATGTCTGGTCATCAAAGTTTATTTTAGTTCCACTTTTTCCAGTTAGTTTTACTTTCTAAATCATTTCAGGATTTTTTGCTGTTTTGTTATAGTTTCATTTCTCTAGCTCACCATTTCCCTTTTATGAAGAAGATATATACTTTATTAATCCCCTATTGGGGAAATTCTTTTTTTCACTCTTACACAGACACATACACACACCGGCTATAATGCACTTGTGGACATGCAAACAGGGAGAGAGATGGTGGAGTGATGGGCTCGCCACGTTAAAGGCGCTCATGAGCAGTTTTTTGGGGTTATGTTGCCTTGCTCAAGGGCACCTCGGCAGTGCAGCTACCAGTCCACACTCCATATTGTGGTCTGTGGGATTTGAGCTGGCGACCCTCTGGTTGCCAAGCCAAGTCCCTACACATTGAGCTACTGCCGCCCCTTTATTGTGCCTTACTTGCTAGAATGACTTTACTGTGATTTTTATAGGCATGAACGACACGTTTTATCTGTAGCTTTTACATGTTTGCACAGTAAAATGACATGTTCACTCACTGTGATAAATATGCCACATCTGGGTCACATTCAATTCAATTCAATTTTATTTGTATAGCGCCAATTCATAACAGAAGTTATCTCAGGACACTTTTCAAATAGAGCAAGTCTAGACCGAACTCCTTATAACATGAACACGACTAGTTATCACAGTCATAATTTTTTCTCTTCATTTTTCTTCTTGTCTTTTTAAAGTGCCTATCTTTTTTATAAAGGTGAAAGTATTAAAAAAACATAATATAACACAAAATAACATAATACAAAAGATTAAAAACATAGCATGTTAATCCAAAGTCCGAAGAAATATACCGTTTTACATAAATCAAAGTGAAAACTAATGTCTCAAGGATTGCTTTTGCATTTAGGCTGTGGAATTTAAAGGTACTGAATAGAAAAAATCCCTAAATTTTAAAAAGTTTATATCAGTCCAACCCAAAAATCACCAAGGCGGGGATTAACCACAGCATGTTAATGTACAGTGTATGAATAAAACCTGGCTCAGTGAAAAGAGGAAGTGAATTATTTCTGGCAGTCCCTTACTCTGTCAGCACTTCTGTCTTCTGCTTTTGTCACCATGTCTTACTCCCGCTCTTGGACTTTCCCCACTCAGCTTGTGTGTTACTGTTCAGAAAGTGACAGTGTAGGGTGAGTAAGCTTTCGGTGTGGAGGTGTTGTGAAGTCAATCATAAGGAATAAGGAGTCTATCAGCTTTTTTCTCTCAGTGTCTGGGATAAGCTGGATGTTTGTATGAGGCTTTTGAAGGAAGAGTGATTTGTCTAAATTTAAGACATTCACTGAAATAAGAGGTAGGTGTCTTTCCTTCCTAAATGATAGCAATAAGCTGGATAATGAATCACATGAGTCACTGAGTATTTGAGTAGATTTGTTTTATTTTATTAGATTTGACCTGATTTGAAATCCTATTTTAGTTTATACTACATGGGAAAGTTCATGTGTGGCTAATATTTAGACAGCATTGACCATAAGTGCATTTTGTCAAAACATAAAAACTGTGTACATTGGTTTTGCCATGTTTGGGATGGATATTCTTTGTAGGTTTCACTAATTTGAAGGTCTGTTCCCACTTTAAAGTCATAAGATTAATTCAATTCATTCAATTCAATTCAATTTTATTTGTATAGCGCCAATTCATAACAGAAGTTATCTCAGGACACTTTTCAAATAGAGCAGGTCTAGACCGAACTCTTTAAAACATTATTTACAGAGACCCAACAGTACCACCATGAGCAAGCACTAGGCGACAAGGGCAAGGAAAAACTGCCTGTTAAAAGGCAGAAACCTAGGACAGATCCTTCAGCTCTAGGTGGGTGGTCGTCTGCCTCGACCAGTTGGGGTGAGAGAGAGAGAGAGACAGAGAGAGAGAGAGAGAGAGAGAGAGAGAGAGAGACAGACAGACAGACAGACAGGTGCACAGCAACAACATTATTGGCCATGGCAATCTAGCAGGACCATGGCAGGGGGCTCCACCAGGATCGATAAGAACCTGCGAGACGAGAAAGCACAAGAACTCCGGGGAAGAAGTGAAGTTAGTAACATGCATTAATAGGACATCAATGAGTGCAGAAAGAGAGAGGAAGAGAGGAGCTCAGTGCACCATGGGAAATCCCCCGATAGTCTAGGCCTATAGCAGCATAACTAAGGGATGGTTCAGGACTCACCTGATCCAGCCCTAACTATAAGCTTTATCAAAGAGGAATGTCTTAAGCCTACTCTTGAATGTGGAGAGGGTGTCTGCCTCCCGAACCACAACTGGAAGCTGGTTCCACAGGAGAGGAGCTTGGTAACTGAAGGCTCTGGCTCCTGTTCTACTTTTAGAGACTATAGGAACCACAAGTAGCCCAGCATTCAGAGAACGTAGTGTTCTAGTGGGGTAATAGGGTACTATGAGCTCTTTAAGATATGAAGGGGCCTGACCATGAAGAGCTTTATAGGTGAGGAGGAGGATTTTAAATTCTATTCTACATTTTACAGGGAGCCAATGCAGAGAAGCTAGTACAGGAGAGATGTGATCTCTTTTTCTAGTTCCTGTCAGTACTCGTGCTGCAGCGTTCTGAATTAATTGGAGCGTTTTAATGGACTTATTGGGGCAACCTGATAATAAAGAGTTGCAGTAATCCAGCCTTGAAGTAACAAATGCATGGATTAGTTTTTCTGCATCCATCTGTGATAGTATGTGTCTAATTTTTATAATATTACGTAAATGAAAGAAGGCAGTCCTAGAGGTCTGCTTCATGTGGGAGTTAAAAGACAAATCCTGATCAAAGACAACTCCAAGATTCCTGACAGTGGTGCTAGAGGCCAAGGTAATGCCATCAAGAATAACTATATCTTTAGACAGTCTCTAAGGTTTTTGGGGCCAAGAATAAGAATTTCGTTTTTTTCTGAGTTTAACATCAGAAAATTGCAAGCTCATCCGGGATTTTATGTCCTTAAGACATGTTTGTAATTTAGATAATTGATTAATTTCATGATCTTGATCGATAGATATAACTGCGTATCATCTGCATAACAGTGAAAGTTAATGGAGTGAGTCCTAATAATGTTGCCTAAAGGGAGCATATATAGAGTAAATAGTATTGGTCCAAGTACAGAACCTTGTGGAACTTAACATGTACAAAATGCGTACGATCTGATAAATATGACTTAAACCAGCTTAGTGCGGTTCCTTTAATGCCAATTTGATGCTTAGGTCTCAAAGAATATCATGGGCAATGGTGTCAAATGCAGCACTAAGATCTAATAATACAAGTACAGAGACAAGTCCATTGTCAGAAGCAATCAGAAGGTCATTATTAACTTTAACCAGAGCTGTCTCTGTGCTATGATGAACTCTAAATGCTGACTGAAAATCCTCAAATAAACTATTGTTATGTAGAAAGTCACACAACTCTTTGGCGACTACTTTCTCCAGAATCTTAGAGAGGAAGGGGAGCTTAGAGATTGGTCTATAGTTGGCTAAAACCCCTGGGTCAACAGTGGGCTTTTTAAGAAGGGGTTTAATTACAGCTACTTTAAAGGACTGCGGTACATATCCTGATAATAAAGAAAGATTAATCATATCCAGTAAAGAAGTGCCAATTAAGGGAACAACTTCTTTAAGCAGCCTAGTTGGGATCGGTCTAACAGACAGGTTGATGGCTTTGATAAAGATTGATAGCAGAAAAACAGTCTAAATATATATCTAAGTTTACGTTAGCAAAAGTCCCTGAACTTGGAGAGCCACTGATAACTGTTGATGGCAGTTGGTGATTAATTTTCTCTCTAATTGTAATAATTTTATTGTGGAAGAAGCTCATAAAGTCGTTGCTACTTAAGTTTATGGGATATATGGTGGTGTAACAGATATATGGTGTGTGTCTGAACTGTTGTGTTATGGTTCTTCTTAGGTTCAGGTGGTTTTCTATACAGAACCAATTTCTGTTTTGTCTGAGTTTAACATTAGTAAACTGAAGGTAATCCAGGTTTTTATGTACTAAAGGCATGCTTGTAATTGCTTGATATAATTGGGTATAATTTGCATAACAAATAAAGTTAATGGAGTGATTCCTAATAATGTAATTTATTGAGCATGGAGGATTAATCATTAACATTTACAAACTTCTCACAAATACCTAGCATTAAACCGGCTGTAGCTCATCTTGTAGCTGCCAGTAGTTCCTCATAGGACGCTGATTGGTCCAAACCACTGTGGTTGGACACAAGTCTTTAAGTCATTTAACTCCCACATAAAGCAGACCTCTAGGACCGCCTTCTTTCATTTACGTAGGCTTAAGACATTCCTCTTTGATAAAGCTTATAGTTAGGGCTGGATCAGGTGAGTCCTGAACCATCCCTTAGTTATGCTGCTATAGGCCTAGACTATCGGGGGATTTCCCATGGTGCACTGAGCTCCTCCCTTCCTCTCTCTTTCTGCACTCATTCATGTCCCATTAATGCATGTTACTAACTTCACTTCTTCCCCGGAGTTCTTGTGCTTTCTCGTCTCGCAGGTTCTCATGGATCCTGGTGGAGCCTCCTGCCATGGTCCTGCTTGACTGCCATTGCCAATACTGTTGTTGCTGTGCACCTGTCTGTCTGTCTGTCTGTCTGTCTCTCGCTCTCTCTCTCTCTCTGCCTCTCTCTCTCTCTCTCTCTCTCTCTCTCTCTCTCTCTCTCACCCCAACTGGTCGAGACAGACGACCAACCACCTAGAGCCGGAGGATCTGTCCTAGGTTTCTGCCTTTTAACAGGCAGTTTTTCCTTGCCCTTGTCGCCAAGTGCTTGCTCATGGTGGTACTGTTGGGTCTCTGTAATTAATGTTGAAGAGTTCGGTCTAGACCTGCTCTATTTGAAAAGTGTCCTGAGATAACTTCTGTTATGAATTTGCGCTATACCAATAAAATTGAATTGAATTGAAGTCTGGCAAGATGGGTTATTGCGTGAGCTTGTGATTTTGATATCTTGTGAGTCCAGCTGCCTGTCAAGGTTAGGTCTTTGAATTGTCTTAAAAGTCTTGCAAACAAGGAATTATTGTCCCATGACATAAACACAGTAATAATTAAAATATATTTAAGAACATATTTTACAAAATATTGTCACTGCTTCTGCAATTTGACCTCAGGCAGTGTTAATCTTGAACACTGTCTGTCTGCTCTGGTGTCGGACTACCAGCTGCCTGCCGATGTGCTCAGCCTGAAGGAGCGTTGTGCTGTCACCAGGAGGGAATTGGCGGTGCGTCTCAGTTCACCTCATGTTGCTCACATCAGACAGAGCTGTGACACCAAGGTAGGACTCTGACAGGCACTAATCACTCCTAATGTTTTCCTCCCATTCCCCTCCTCAAACTGTATTTCATTTTTGTTTCGAATTTTATTGTCTGCAGTACACTCAGTTACACATCTGCACTTTCATTGTGTTTGCCAGGTGCAGCAAATGATGAAAGCAGCAAGGAATGGTACCAAGGACAGTTTAGAAAAGACAAAGTTAGCCATGATTCGCAAAGTGTCTTTCCTGCAGAGAAAAGACTCAGCAGGTACAGAAACTGGAACTGGAGTTTGTAGAAATCAAACATTCTCAGCAGACAAATAATAACTAGATGTAGAGCTCAGAGCTACCACAGCAGATTCCTGTGTTTCTTTCTCTGTTTGAATTAACTGTTTGATTTTGCAGGTGAGGGAAAGGATGACGCAGGTTACATGGATGTGTCTGTGTATGAGTTAAGGCACCCTCCACCACAACTCTGCCCCATGCCGGAGGGGCTCAGCAGTCAGCAGGTGGGTGTATAGATGTCATTGTGGTTACACTGTGGTGTTCATGCACGTGCATGAAAATGACCAGATCATCTTAGAAGGCCAGTTTATGTTCTTTAAAATGAGGGAATGATTAAATCAAGCATTCAGTTTATTAAGATAGCAGAATATACTTATTAGGCCTTGCATTATAATCATTAGAACTTCCAATGATTAACATCAGTATTTGTAACATTTATCAATTTTACTGCAAATATACAATCAGTGTAGAGTAAATACCATCACCTTACGCTTAGGGGTTTCTTATATTACCTCAACTGTAAAGAGAACCAGGCCTTTAGTTGAAAGAAGACCCTGTTTTAAAGGTCCAGTGTGTAGGATTTAGTGGACTCTAACGGTCACCTTCACGTTTTAATTATGTAGGAGAAACTACAGTGATTGCATGATATGATAAAAACATTGTATTGCAATTATTTTTACTTATATTATAATTTTGATATGATTCACGATTAGTGGGAATGAGCATTTTTGCATTCCAATTTTCACTCTCACTGAAAAAAACTGTTTAATTCATGATGATTTGTTGGGGTTTGTACCAAACAAACATGTTTTTTAAATCTGGAGATTTAACTTTTGTAGGCCAGGTCATCCTGGCCTACAGCTGTTATTTGGGACAATGTCGTTATTTTAATATCAGCTTTTATTTGATCATTTACAGGATGTAGGGTGGTATTGCTAAAACAGTATATTGGTGTAACCACTTAATAGTAATGGGAAGCTTGTTTATTCAACGTTAAAGAGAATGTTAGAATTTCTCACTGCCTCCTTCAGGTTGTCAGACGTCTCATCCTCAGCTCCATCGTGCAGAGTGAGAGCAGCTACCTGGACTCTCTCAAGAGAATCCTCCAGGTGAGTCACACCTCTCCTCAGATAACAGGGAATGGCCTTGTTTTTTTGGGAGAAAGTAACAATGAAACATATTTAAGGACTTAAGGACTAGTAAGTCCAGCTGTTTCTGGATCATGTTTACTGCTCATGTGGAGACTTTTTTGGAACACGACACCAGAGCATCACCGATGGTGGAGCTAGTTTGTGATTCCTTCAGACAAGTGACATTTTAACTCATTATTTAGGAATTAAAGAATATATATATGAAATTTAAATCATTATATAGCAGCAAACAACTATTAGCTATATAAAGATAAAGTGGAGTCATGGTGTCACACTCCTTCTGCCTCTGTTGCTATCACAGCCTCTCTATGGTTTGTTTTCATAGCTGGTCTGCCCCCACTGAAACTGCAGTTTTTTTCATCTACGTAGGTGAATAAAGGATGTATTTCAACCAAACTAGATATGTACGGTAAAACTACCATTTTTGTCTATGGAGTCTGGTTAGTGATAGTGATATTACAGCTGTTTCTGGTTAAACAAAAGGTCTATATCTGTAGGGATCCTTTCCACAATGTTGTCAGAGACTTGGAATAACAATCTGAAATCTGTGTAATGTATGGAAGCTGAAAGAAACATAACCACAGATATATCAGTATGCCACTTTTCTTTGTCTGCCAGGAGTACCAGAAGCCTTTGCTGGAGCCACAGAGCTGTATCCTTAACCCCAAGAAGGTGCGGCAGATCTTTTATCGTCTGCAGGAGATCCATCAGTGCCATTCAATGTTCCAGATAGCTCTGGCATCCCGTGTGGCAGAGTGGGATCACAGTGAGAGGATTGGAGACCTGTTTGTCGCCTCGGTCAGTCACAGAGACCTTTCCTTCTGACTTTTCTTCCCTATGAGTGTTGGGAAGGAAGCTTTCTGTTACACAGACAACATTACGCAGCTGTTTTCAAAGGCTGAGTGGTTATAACCATGACAAATGAATGAAGTGATCTTCACTTTAAAATTATTGGAGTGCCCTTTTGATATGCAGAACCTTTATAATAAAAAAAAAGAGGATATGAAGTGACCTCTGCCAGCTTCTCTCTGTGGATGAGTTGTCTCAGAATAAAGTACACTGATCCTGTTAAATGAGGAAATGTCACCAAATGGAACAGAATGGTTTGAGTCTTTTAATATTTGTCATTGTGTAATAATAAGAACATGAAATATTGGCAGTGTCATCCTTTAAATTTTAAGCTGGATTATAGTTTTTTTTTTTATTCAATTCAATTCAATTCAATTTTATTTGTATAGCGCCAATTCATAACAGAAGTTATCTCAGGACACTTTTCAAATAGAGCAGGTCAAGACCGAACTCTTTAAAACATTTTATTTTTATGTGATCAATCAAAAAGCCTTTGTTTAACCCCTGAAAATCCAGTTTCCCTTTTGTAAGTAGCTTTAAGCAAACTCTTTATTGAAGCTATAGATGTTCACATTGAGTGAAATATTGAAACCCAAAGTTTTTACGGCTGCACTATCATTCCATCAGATCAAATTATTTTAGATGTCTTGTCAAGTCAAGTCAGCTTTATTTGTCAAATATGCTATACATGCACGACATACAGCACAGATGACCCACTCGGACCCACGGTGCAAACAGGCAATATGAATAGATTGTAGAAAAGACATAAAATAAACAATCAACAATTAACAAGACATAAAATAAACAATCAACAAGACATAAAATAAACAATCAACAATCAAGGCAGTATTTACAGGACGAAATAAAAATAGGATAAATAAATAAGTATTTAAACAGGTGAGGTAGTGCGGTGTAGTGCAAATAAACAGGGGAAAGTGGAATGTGCAGTCCCTGATCATTTCATACATTTCCCCAAATGACATATTTGTTATATTTAGGCTATTTGGCATCTTTACTAGAATTTTTAGCAAATCTTCAGAAACACTGGCAGTGAGTAACGGCAGAGGTTGAGTTTCGTTCCAGATTTGCAGAACGTTGAAGGCAAACTGTAGCTTGCTAGTAAAGGCTGTGGCTAGCAACCAAAACAGTAATAAATCCAGAACAAGCTAGAGAACCACCCATGCTAATGCGTGGTATGTTTTTATACCGTTATAGTGGTAGGGGTTATATAAGTATGGCTCCAGTACGTCAGTGAGCCATAATTTCAGACCCACCCCAAAAATTCTAAACTGGTTTAAAAAAAAAAAATAGGAATAATAATTTAATTATATTTATTTTCAGCAATTATTTTTAACATGCACAGCAACATTATAATACCACAGAGTCCTGATGTTGTATTCTTTCCTTTACAGTTTTCGAAGTCCATGGTTCTGAATGTGTACAGCGACTACATCAACAACTTCACCAATGCCATGGCACTGATCAAGAAGGCCTGCATGTCCAAACCTGTTTTCTTGGACTTTCTTAAGGTGCTCACACTTTGTTTTTTAAACATGTGGTCTAGTGCTGGCTCTCTTTTGAGTTGTTGACACCCTGTCTTTTTCATCTGTCTGTCAGAAGTGAAACACACCGATTTTATCCCATGCTATTATTTATACAATTCACAGTGCTCAACAAACACTGAACTTGATACATTTATATTTTTGCATTTGATGACTTTCTCCTGCGTGTTTAAGTGGATACATACAGTAGTGTCAACATTTACATCAAGACTGAAGCTCAACACCAAGGCAATAAAGGAGCAAATGATGCTGAAGGTTAACAGGGAGAGTGAGCACAATATAGGAACTTCCTGCATGACACAAATAACCAAACAAAATCAATTATGCAACTGCATCAAGCTGCAGTAGGTTAATTCTCTAAAAAAAAAAAGTTGATTCGTTGTTTTCGTTGAGACCTGGTTGCTTCTTGCAAATGCCATTAGGAGCACTATAAAGGAGCCAGAGGAACCTGATTTTTTCACAGGTTATCTGCTCATGTACTAGTATCAGGATATAGTGAAGGTTTCAGCAAATATAAGAAAAAGTTATTTTTATGAAAATAACCTACTTCAGCTTTATGAAGTTTGGATATTATTACAGTTTCTGGAGTGTTCTTGCATTTGTTAAATAGCTCTAGTGGCAAATTTTAAGCAACTGTTAAAATTATTTTTTTGAAAGGGTCAAAAAAAGGAATTAGATTAAATTGAAAATTAAAGTAAAGCACAATGGTAATAATACCATTATCATTATAAGACAGAGACAAAGGTGCACAATTCAATTCAATTCAATTCAATTTTATTTGTATAGCGCCAATTCATAACAGAAGTTATCTCAGGACACTTTTCAAATAGAGCAGGTCTAGACCGAACTCTTTAACATTAATTACAGAGACCCAACAGTACCGCCATGAGCAAGCACTTGGCGACAAGGGCAAGGAAAAACTGCCTGTTAAAAGGCAGAAACCTAGGACAGATCCTCCGGCTCTAGGTGGGTGGTCGTCTGTCTCGACCAGTTGGGGTGAGAGAGAGAGAGAGAGAGAGAGAGAGAGAGAGAGAGAGAGGCAGAGAGAGAGAGAGCGAGAGAGAGAGGCAGAGAGAGAGAGAGCGAGAGACAGACAGACAGACAGACAGGTGCACAGCAACAACAGTATTGGCAATGGCAGTCAAGCAGGACCATGGCAGGAGGCTCCACCAGGATCCATGAGAACCTGCGAGACGAGAAAGCACAAGAACTCCGGGGAAGAAGTGGAGTTAGTAACATGCATTAATGGGACATGAATGAGTGCAGAAAGAGAGAGGAAGGGAGGAGCTCAGTGCACCATGGGAAATCCCCCGATAGTCTAGGCCTATAACAGCATAACTAAGGGATGGTTCAGGACTCACCTGATCCAGCCCTAACTATAAGCTTTATCAAAGAGGAATGTCTTAAGCCTACTCTTGAATGTGGTGAGGGTGTCTGCCTCCCGAACCACAACTGGAAGCTGGTTCCACAGGAGAGGAGCTTGGTAACTGAAGGCTCTGGCTCCTGTTCTACTTTTAGAGACTATAGGAACCACAAGTAGCCCAGGATTCAGAGAACGTAGTGTTCTAGTGGGGTAATAGGGTACTATGAGCTCTTTAAGATATGAAGGGGCCTGACCATGAAGAGCTTTATAGGTGAGGAGGAGGATTTTAAATTCAATTCTACATTTTACAGGGAGCCAATGCAGAGAAGCTAGTACAGGAGAGATGTGATCTCTTTTTCTAGTTCCTGTCAGTACTCGTGCTGCAGCGTTCTGAATTAATTGGACTCTTTTAATGGACTTATTGGGGCAACCTGATAATAAAGAGTTGCAGTAATCCAGCCTTGAAGTAACAAATGCATGGATTAGTTTTTCTGCATCTGTCTGTGATAGGATGTGTCTGATTTTTCTAATATTACGTAAATGAAAGAAGGCGGTCCTAGAGGTCTGCTTTATGTGGGAGTTAAATGACAAATCCTGATCAAAGATAACTCCAAGATTCCTGACAGTGGTGCTAGAGGCCAAGTTAATGCCATCTAGAGTGACTATATCTTTAGACAATGAGTCTCTAAGGTTTTTGGGGCCAAGAACAAGAATTTCGTTTTTTTCTGAGTTTAACATCAGAAAATTGCAGGTCATCCAGGATTTTATGTCCGTAAGACATGTTTGTAATTTAGATAATTGATTAATTTCATTGGGTTTGATTGATAGATATAACTGCGTATCATCTGCATAACAGTGAAAGTTAATGGAGTGATTCCTAATAATGTTGCCTAAAGGGAGCATATATAAAGTAAATAGTATTGGTCCAAGTACAGAACCTTGTGGAACTCCATGACTAACTTTAGTATTTTTGGAGGATTCATCGTTAACATGTACAAACTGAGAACGATCTGATAAGTATGACTTAAACCAGGTTAGGGCAGTTCCTTTAATGCCAATTTGATGCTCAAGTCTCTGTAAAAGAATATCATGGTCAATGGTGTCAAATGCAGCACTAAGATCTAATAATACAAGTACAGAGACAAGTCCATTGTCAGAAGCAGTCAGAAGGTCATTATTAACTTTAACCAGAGCTGTCTCTGTGCTATGATGAACTCTAAATCCTGACTGAAAATCCTCAAATAAACTATTGTTATGTAGAAAGTCACACAACTCTTTGGCGACTACTTTCTCCAGAATCTTAGAGAGGAAGGGGAGGTTAGAAATCGGTCTATAGTTGGCTAAAACCCCTGGGTCAAGAGTGGACTTTTTAAGAAGGGGTTTAATTACAGCTACTTTAAAGGACTGTGGTACATATCCTTATAATAAAGAAAGATTAATCATATCCAGTAAAGAAGTGCCAATTAAGGGAACAACTTCTTTAAGCAGCCTAGTTGGGATCGGGTCTAATAGACAGGTTGATGGCTTCGATGAAGAAATGATTGAAGTTAACTGATGAAGAGCGATAGCAGAAAAACAGTCTAAATAAATATCTAAGTTTACATTGACAGAAGTCCCTGAACTTGGAGAGCCACTGATAACTGTTGATGGCAGTTGGTGATTAATTTTTTCTCTAATAGTAATAATTTTATTATAGAAGAAGCTCATGAAGTCATTGCTACTTAAGTTTATGGGGATATGTGGCTCAATAGAGCTGTGACTCTCTGTCAGCCTGGCTACAGTGCTGAAGAGGAACCTAGGGTTGTTCTTATTTTCTTCTATTAGTGCTGAGTAATAGGCTCCTCTGGCATTACGGAGGGCCTTTCTATACATTTTAAGATTATCTTGCCAATTTGAGCGATATTCTGATAATTTGGAAGAGCGCCATTTCCTTTCAGATTTTCTAGCTATTTGTTTTAACTGGCTGGTTTGGTGGTTATACCAAGGTGCTAGTCTCCTATGTTTTAATAATTTCCTTTTTATAGGAGCGATAGAGTCTAATGTTGATCGTAGTGAGCCTGTAGCACTATCGTCAAGATTATGAATTTCAGAGGGACTAAAGTCGTTATAGGACTCTGTTAAATTCAGACATGGCATTGAATTAAACACTGAAGGAATCTCCTCCTTAAATTTAGCTACAGCACTGTCAGATAGACATCTGCTGTAGAAAGTTTTGCCTAATGGCTTATAATCTAATAGTATGAATTCAAAAGTTATTAAATAATGGTCAGATAGGAGAGGATTATGTGGGAAGACTATTAAATGTTCAATATCAATGCCATATGATAAAACAAGGTCAAGAGTGTGATTAAAACAATGAGTTGGTTTATTTACACTCTGACAGAAGCCAATTGAGTCTATTAATGATATAAATGCATTACTAAGGCTGTCATTGTCAACATCCACATGAATATTAAAATCACCTACAATAATTACTTTATCTGATTTAAGGACTAAACTTGATAGAAACTCTGACAATTCAGATATAAAATCAGAGTACGGTCCAGGAGCGCGGTACACTATAACAAATAGAACTGGCTGCAGTGTTTTCCAGGATGGGTGAGAAAGACTAAGAACAAGGCTTTCAAATGAATTATAATTTAGTTTAGGTTTAGGGTCCATTAAAACGCTCGAATCATATATGGCTGCCACTCCACCTCCTCGGCCTGTGCCTCGAGGAATGTGAGTATTAATATGACTGGGGGGGGTGGATTCATACTCATACATACTCCTCGTAGGACAACCAGGTCTCAGTAAGACAAAGTAAATCAATATCATAATCTGATATTAATTCATTCACTAAAACAGCTTTAGAGGACAGAGACCTGATATTTAACAGCCCACATTTCATTCTCTTATTTTGTGCTACTGAGGAGTTAGTTTTAATTTTTATTAGATTTTTATGTTGAACTCCTCTTGTTTTTATTTCTTTAAATAATTTAGGTGGTCGGGGGACAGACACAGTCTCTATGGGGTTTTGGGTGGGTGACTGTTCTAAAGAAAGAGCAGAGAAGTGTGTAAGACAGCAGCTCTGCTTCCTGGTCCTAACTCTGGACTGTCAGGTTTTAGAAATAAACTTCGCCATATTTCTAGATAAGAGAGCCGCTCCGTCCAAAGTGGGATGGATGCCGTCTCTCCTAATCAGACCAGGTTTTCCCCAAAAAGGCTTCCAGTTATCAATGAAGCCCACATCGTTTGCTGGACACCACCTCGACAGCCAGCGGTGGAATGACGACATGCGGCTATACATGTCATCACTGGTCACATTGGGGAGGGGTCCAGAGAAAACTACGGTGTCCGACATTGTCTTAGCATAATTACACACCGACTCCACATTAATCTTAGTGACCTCCGATTGGCGTAAACGGGTGTCATTACCGCCAACGTGAATAACAAACTTATTATTTTTACTTTTATCTTTAGCCAGCAGTTTTAAATTTGATTCAATGTCGCCCGCTCTGGCCCCAGGGATACATTTAACTATGGCCGCTGGCTTCGCTAACTTCACGATTCTGACTATGGAGCTGCCAATTATCAGAGTTGGTTGCACAGCAACAACTACACTAAGAGTAGTGACTGATGATGACCATGAACATTGTGTTGTCTTTCAGGCATAAATTCAAATGAACTTTTATTTTGAAGAGACTCTTATTTTGAAGGGCTTTTGTCTCGCCGGAAAGTTCCTGGTTCTCAGGTTGTTTTGATCAGTAGTTTGAGGAGGCTAGCTGGATTTACACAGCTACATTTCTGTGTTCAACTGCATGTATTCAACACTGTAAACGCCACAGAGGCAACGTCGTAAGTGAATAATTTCATAGTTATATTCATAAGTTAGTGGTAAAAATATTATTTACATGAAGAAGGCATTTGATTTATTTGTATTTAAAAACGTTTTATTTACACTTATTTACATGAGAAAAGCACATGTTACAGAGCTGAATGGTAATTTTTATATTTGTCTTTGTTACAGTTTTCACTCTGACCTTGTAAAATGAGAGAAAGAGCCACAGTAAAGAGCAACTAAAGCTTACTACGACTCAAGTCTTCATTTGAGAGGAAGAGTTTAGCTAGTTGTATAGCTGCAGTTGCTACACTGCAGTGAGGACAACATAGTGAAAAGACGTTAAAAGGCTGGCGTCGTACACCGTGCTAAGATGGAAGCTAAACAAAGTGACAAGATTTCTGTGGTTAGTAGAAGAAGTTCACGGTCATCTGCAGCATCCACTAGCTCATTAATACGTGCACGAGCTAAAGCAGAGGCAGCTAGAACACGTCTTGCATTTGCTGAACAAGAAGCTAAAGCTAAAATAGAGAGACTGCTAAGGAGGCAGAGCACCAAAAGAAAAGGCTGACAGAGAAGCTACATATCAGCTGGAAAAGCAAAGAAGGATGCTGAGCTAGAAGCGCTCACTATCCGCAGAGAGGCAGCAATGGCTGAAGCGGAAGCAGCCGTGTGGGAAGCAGCAGACGCAACAGAAAACTACGTGCCGTTAGACAAGTAGGCCCATCAGAAGAGGATAAAATGTTACAGACAGAAGAATACATTACATCTCACTTCAACCCACAATCATATAAAGGCCATCCTTCTACCGACTCCCCAGCTCAAGCAGCCATTAAAGCTAGCCAGTCACCAAGTCAGCCTCCTGGTGTGTACGTCCCACCATCAGTCAAGATAGAAAATCAGGCTCCACATGGAGAATCTGACCGGCAGAGGGACTCCACAATGAGCCACACCAACTTGAACAGGTCATCACAGCCCTTCTATCCCCAGAGTGCGCCAACAACTTCCCACAGCGGACCCACGACTGAACACCTGGCACAGTACCTAGCTCGTCGGGACCTGGTGAGTTCAAGTTTATATCAATTTGACGATCAGCCTGAACATTATCGTGCTTGGCAGTCATCATACATCAGTGCCACTCAAGGGCTAGGCCTCACAGCTACTGAGGAATTGGACTTAATGACAAAATGGCTTGGTAGAGAATCCAGCAACCATGTCAAACGTCTACGGTCAGTGTACATAACAAACCCATTCATAGCACTCACAAAGGCCTGGGAACGCCTCCAGGAACGTTATGCAGCACCTGAAATCATCGAAAAGGCTCTTTTTGAACGGCTCGATAATTTCCCAAGAGTTTCAGGAAAAGAACAGTTGAAGCTACGAGAACTAGCAGACTTGTTAATGGAAGTGCAGTGCGCCAAGGAGGATGGCTACCTCCCAGCTCTCTCCTATCTGGATACTGCACGCGGCATCGAACCCATAGTTGCAAAACTGCCCTATGGGCTTCAAGAAAAATGGATTTCAGTCGGTTCAAAGCATAAGGAAGAAAATAGAGGACAGTTTCCACCATTTGAATTCTTCAGCAAATTTGTGTGCAACGAAGCTCGTAAAAGAAATGACCCTAGCTTTGCTATTCCAGGTGCTAGCGGCTTGCCTGCAAAGTCTGAAAAACGTTCTTCAAAGGCACAAAGTACCCTATTTCGGTCCACAAGACAGTCGTCGCCTCTACAAGCCCAAGCATAAACAAAGGTGTCAGCGACCTGAACAAAAGCTGTCCAATACATGGCAAGCCACATCCCCTCAAGCGCTGCAAAGCCTTCAGAGCCAAAACGCTGGAGGAAAGAAAGGCCTTCCTCAAAGAAAAGGAATCTGCTTTAAGTGTTGTGGCTCCACTACTCACCTCGCTAAGGACTGTCCAAATGCAGTTAAGTGTTTGGAGTGTGATAGCACCTATCACGACTCTGCTATGCACCCTGGACCCGCACCTCAAGTCAAGGCCCCCACAACTTCACCACACAACGGCGGGGAGGAGGAAGAGAGCAGCACCATTAAAGCGGTTGTTAACTCAAGCTGCACCGAGGTCTGCGGCACAGGAAATATCGGCCGGTCATGTTCCAAGATTTGCCTCGCGAAACTATATCCTAAAGGACAACCAGACAAAGCTATCAAGGCCTACGTCATCCTGGATGACCAAAGCAACCGGTCACTGACAAGGTCCAGCCTTTTTGAGCTGTTTAACATTGAGCGCAAACCATACTCTTACTATCTAAAGACATGCTCCGGAATAGTGGAAACATCTGGGCGCAGGGCTGAAGACTTTGTGGTTGAGTCACTCGATGGAACGGCCACAATCCCTCTCCCACCACTTATCGAGTGCAACCATATACCCAACAATCGGTCCGAGATCCCAACTCCAAATGCAGCTCGTCACCATCCACATCTTGTCAAGGTAGCAGAGCGCATCCCAGAGGTCGACCCTACCGCGGAGATCCTCTTGTTGCTTGGTAGAGATATAATAAGAGTGCACAAAGTTCGGGACCAAGTCAATGGCCCCCACAACGCCCCTTTTGCCCAACGTTCAGACCTAGGATGGGTGCTAGTCGGAGAAGTCTGCTTAGGGAGCGCACATAAGCCAACAGTCAACACCTTCAAGACAACCGTGCTCGACAACGGCCGGCCCTCCCTACTCAAACCCTGTACAAGCTTTTTGCACATTAAAGAAAAGGTTAATCATGGCGGAGAGGCACGAGACAGGTTTTCGGAAACTAGCAAGTCTGCAGAAGAAACGTTGGGGCAAACCGTTTTCAGTCACACTGAACAGGACCACAAGCTGGCACCTTCAATCGAAGACGACATCTTTCTGAAACTAATGGACAAAGAAGTCTACAGAAATGAGTCAAATAGCTGGGTGGCTCCACTCCCATTTAAGCAACCTAGACAACGCTTGTCTAACAACCGAGAACAAGCTGTCAGACGCTTTGCATCACTCCAACATAGCTTGAATAAGAAGCCAGAGATGCAACAACAATATGTGGCTTTCGTAGGGAAAATGTTGGAGAACGACCACGCAGAGGTAGCTCCATTACTAGGAGAGGACGAAGAATGCTGGTACCTGCCAACCTTTGGAGTGTACCATCCACGAAAACCTGGCCAAATAAGGGTGGTATTCGACTCAAGTGCCAAATACTTAGGCGTTTCTCTCAACGATGTACTCCTCACAGGCCCCGACCTCAACAATTCCCTTCTTGGAGTTTTGATGCGGTTCCGGAAGGAAAAGGTGGCTATCGTGGCAGACATACAGCAGATGTTTCACTGCTTTTTGGTGCGAGAGGACCACAGAAACTATCTGAGATTCCTGTGGTACAAGGACAACGATCCGACAAAAGAAATCATAGACTACAGGATGAAAGTTCATGTTTTCGGGAACAGCCCGTCCCCTGCTGTGGCCATTTACGGACTCAGAAGAGCAATCAGAGAGGGCGCACGAGAACATGGGGCTGACACTGTTGACTTTGTGGAGCGCCACTTCTATGTGGACGACGGCCTTCGTTCTGTGTCGACTGATGCTGAAGCCATCGACCTGTTAAGCAGAACACAGACATCACTGGCCGAATCAAACCTCAGGCTTCACAAGTTTGCCTCAAACAGCCAAGCAGTTCTGGAAGCTTTTCCATCTGAAGACTGTGCTACAGTCGTGAAAGATGTGGACTTAGGTGGAGAGGCCGCACCCACTCAACGCAGTCTGGGTCTCTTGTGGGAGATAGCAAGCGACACATTCACCTTCTCTGTGGCAAACGACATCAAGCCATTTACTCGCCGTGGTGTCCTCTCCACGGTGAATAGTGTTTTCGACCCCTTGGGTTTCCTGGCCCCCGTAACACTTCAAGGAAGACTCCTCCTCCGGGAACTCACCGCTGAGCTGTCCGAGTGGGACGTACTGCTACCTGAAGATAAATTCAGCAAATGGAAAGCTTGGCAAGACTCGCTTCAGGAGCTGAGACACCTCCACGTACCACGGACATACACAGCAGCTTCGCTAGCCAAGGCAGTGCATACAGAGCTCTGTGTGTTTTCTGATGCATCTATCAAAGCCATCGCCGCCGTGGCGTACTTGAAGGCTGTACAAGAAGATGGACAAACTCACATTGGTTTTGTCATGGCTAAGTCAAAACTTGCACCTCAGTCGGAACCAACTATCCCAAGACTCGAACTCTGTGCGGCAGTCTTAGCAGTGGAAATGGCAGACCTGATTCACGACGAACTAAATTTGAAGCTGGATTCCACAAAGTTTTACACCGACAGCAAAGTGGTCCTTGGCTATATCTATAATGAATCCCGACGATTCTATGTCTACGTCCATAATAGAGTTCAGCGCATTCGCCAAACTACAAAACCCGAACAATGGCACTATGTGCGCACAGAGGATAATCCTGCAGACCATGCATCAAGGTCCATTCCTGCCTCACTCCTGGCACAGACAACGTGGTTAAAAGGACCTAACTCCCTACTCAACCCTCCCAACAAACCAGATCCAGTTCAGTCATTCGACCTGGTCAAACCAGAACTGGACACAGATATCCGTCCACAAGTGAGAAGCTATGCCACAAAGCTGCAAGAGAGAAGCCTTAGCACGGAACGCTTTCTAAGATTCTCTAACTTCAACAGTCTTGTTCGTGCTATAGCACTCCTAATTCACATTGTGAAGTCCTTTAAGCTCTCTAAAAACACGGACAAGTGTAAGGGGTGGCATAAGTGTGATCTGTCTCGAACCCCAGATGAACTATCGCTAGCGAAGGAAGTCATCATTGC